GAAGATGCGACAGAAAGGCACAGAGATGTAATGTTGCTGGCTTTGAAGATGGAGGAAGAGGGCCACATGCCAAGGAACGTGGGTAGGAGCTGGAAGGAGTGAGGAAATAGATTCTCCCTTAGGGTCTCTAGAAAGTAACAGCCTTGTGGACAAATTGATTTAGCCCAGTTAGGACCCATGTCAGACTTCTAACCTACAGCTAACAAATCTGCATTAAGCTGGTGAATTTGTGGTGATTTGTCATGGCAGCAATAGGAAACTAGTACACTGAAGCTACTTTATTTGTTTCAGGGATGTTCATAATTGCTCATTGAAACATTTTCATCATGGCTGCTTTAAAATCTTTGTCAAATTATTCTAACATGTCATTTTGGTGTTGGCATTTTTTTTTCATTCAGTTTGATATCTTGGTTCTTGGTATGAATGATTTTTTTTTTTTTGAGACAGAGTCTTGCTCTGTCGCCCAGGCTGGAGTGCAGTGGCCGGATCTCAGCTCACTGCAAGCTCCGCCTCCCGGGTTTATGCCAGGTATGAATGATTTTTTATTGAAATGCAGACATTTTTATATTGTTATGAGCCTTTTATTTTTTGTTGCAAAAAAATAAAAACAGTCTATAACAACATGAAAAATATGAAAATGTCTGGGTCTCAATCTGTCATTCAGGCTGGAGTGCAGTGGCTTGCTCTTGGCTCACTGCAACCCCCACCTCCCATGCTCAAGCGATTCTCCTACCTCAGCCTCCCGAGTAGCTGGGACCACAGGCGTGTGCCAGCATGCCCAGCTAATTTTTGTATTTTTTGTAGAGACAGGGTTTTGCCATATTGCCCAGGCTGGTCTCGAACTCCTGGGTTTGGCCCACTTTGGCCTCCCAAAGTGCTGGGATTACACTCATGAGCCACCATGCCCAGCCCATGATGAGACTATATCTTATTTAAACCTAGTTTTACCTGGCTTGCTCTGACAGCATTCTGGCAAAGAAAGCCGGGTTGCTTCCTTGTGACTGCCAGATACAAGTAGAAGTCCAAGTTCTCCTGTCAGCCTCCTTGACACCAGAAAGGGGGTGATCCTTGCTGTTGGTGGGCAGTTGTGAGAATCAGCCCTCCAGACGGTCTGTACTGACACTGGGAGGGATTGGGGGTGTCTCATTTCTGCCAGCAGGGATGAAAGGCCTGGTTCCTTACTTGGCCTTTCTTGTTCCTTACTTCTCTGACACCACCCCAGTGGGTGCACTGTTCTGCCTCATTTTATGCTTCTGAGGATGGAAGTGGTAGACTCCCTGCTTGTTCTTTGTTGGTGTGGATATGGGTAGGGCCAGTTTTTTTTTTTTTTTTTTTTTTTTTTTTTGTGGTGTGTGGCTGGGATAGTGGTTTTTGTCTAGGTTTTCTGTCTTCTTAGGCTGCCCCTGTCCTAGGTCTTTGGCTAGCGAGGCTTTTGTTGTGGCTTTACACTTTGTCTGTGCCACTTGGCTTTTTTAAGTTGCCCCTTCTTTAGCATCAAGTCTGATATATGAGTCAAAAAGAAAACTTAGGGAACTTACCACTGTCTTTCCTCTGGTCCCAAGGTCCTTTAGTCAGTTTGACTTATTGTCACCTTTCAGTCTTATTTTTGTTTTATATAGAACGTCCAGGGTTTTTAGTTATACTGAGTGGGAGGAATAGGAGAGAAGATGCCTACTTTGTCTTACCAGAAGTGAAAGTCTGTCTAAAGACCACTTATTTAAATTTTTTTTTGAGATGGAGTCTTGCTCTGTCACCCAGGCTGGAGTGGCGTGGTGCGATTTCGGCTCACTGCAACCTCTGCCTCTTCGGTTCAAGTAGCTGGGATTACACAGGCATGTGCCACCACACCTGGCTAATTCTGTATAATAAGAGATGGGGTTTCGCCATGTTGGCCAGGCTGGTCTTGAACTCCTGACCTCAGGTGATCTGCCTGCCTCGGCCTCCTAGTGCTGGGATTACAGGCGTGAGCCACCGCACCCTGACCTGGGACCACGTGTTTTTTTTTTAATTCGCAGTGAGCCCAGAGTAGCCAGGACCACTTTTTAAAGCAGATTTTCTCCTAGGTTTTTGGACTACATATTGGCAGATTTTTTTCCAGCACACATTTTCAATAAAGGTATACTCCTACGTGGGTTCCAGTTTTATGTGGGTTTTCAGTTCAATCCTGATATGAGTGAGTCCCAGGGCCTATCTCCTGTCTCCACACAGGTTTTAAAACCTAAGTCCCTGGAATGTTGAGACTATCTCCTCTTAATGGGCTGTGGCACCTGCTACTCCACAACCAGGAGAGCATCGGCTTCAGCTCATGTGACTACTAGAATAGTTTGTCTCTCAAGTGCACTTAGCTATGAATTTAATCAGATAAGATGCTTGTAGTATTTTACTTAGCATTTCTAGGTATTTAAACAATTTAGGCTGGGCACGGTGACTCATGCCTGTAACCCCAGCACTTTGTGGGGCTGAGGCGGGCAGATCAGCTGAGGTCAGGAGTTTGAGACCAGCCTGGCCAACATGGTGAAATCATGTGTCTACTAAAAATACAAAAATTAGCTGGGCATGGTGGTGGGCGCCTGTAATCCCAGCTACTTGGGAGGCTGAGGTAAGAGAACTGCTTGAACCTGGGAGGCGGAGGTTGCAGTGAGCCGAGATCGCGCCATTGCACTCCAGCCTGGGGGACAAGAACAAAACTTTGTCTCAATTAAAAAAAAAAAATTTAATTTAGGCTGGGCATGGTGATTCATGCCTATACTCCCAGAACTTTGGAAGACTGAGGTGGGAGGACAGCTTGAAGGCAGGAGTTCAAGAGCAGCCTGGGCAACATAGCAAGATTTCATCTCTACAAAAAATTTTAAAATTAGCTGGGCATGGTGGCATGCACTTTAGTCCTAGTTACTGGGGAGACTGAGGCAGGAAGATTGTTTGAACTCAGGAGTTTTGAGGCTGTAGTGAGCTATAATTGAGCCACTGCACTCCAGCCTGGGCAACAGAGTAAGACCCTGTTTCATAAATAAATCAATACATTTACCACTGTAATTATCTTTTTAAAAATTTTTTTTGAGATAGGGTCTTACACTGTCTCACTATCACTGCTCACTGTAGCTTCAGCCTCCCAGGCTCAAGCAATTCTCCCACCTCTGCCTCCTGCATAGCTGGGACCACAGGTGTGCACCACACTGGGCTAATTTTTTGCAGAGACAGGGTTTTGCCATATAGCCCAGGCTGATCTCAAACTCCTGGGCTGAAGCGATTTGCCTGCCTCAGCCTCCCAAAGTGCTGGGATTACAGGTGTGATTTAATCATCTTAAAGTGTACAATTCGTTGGCATTAAGTATACATTGTTGTGCAACTATCATCACTATCCATTTCCAGGACTGTTCATCATCTCAAACAGAAACTCTCTTCTGGGTGTTTTTAACAGGTTTTTAGGTTATTTGCTTCCTCCTGGTGAAGTGGAGGTAGAAAGACATTTCAGGCAGAAAGCACAGCAAGTCAGAGGGCGTAGTCTTACAAGAGTCCCAATATCCAGAAACAATAGAGTCCAGTGTGCAGGAACTAATACACAGGTGATATAGTGCAAGGTGATAGATGAGGCCTGCAGAACGGTGTCAGATCATGCAGGACAAGATAAATCCCATTGTAGGTGATGGGGAAAAGAATTTTACAAATAAGTTGAGACGAGGTGCAGTGGCTCATGCCTCTAATCCAGCACTTTGGGAGGCCGAGGCCGGTGGATCACTTGAGGTCAGGAGTTCGAGATCAGCCTGGTCAATATGGTGAAACCCTGTCTCTACTAAAAATACAAAAAATTAGCTGGATGTGGTGGCACATGGCTGTAATCCCAGCCACTCGGGAGGCTGAGGCAGGAGAATCACTTGAACCCAGGAGGTGGAGGTTGCAGTGAGCCAAGATCATGCCACTGCACTCCAGCCTGGGCAACGCAGCCAAGACCCCATCTCAAAGAAAAAAAAAACAAAAGAAAGAAAAAAAAAGAAAAAATTAAGGTAATGTCTTATTTTAACTCAGTCTGAGAAATGGTAAATAAATTGCAAATTTTATGACTTGCAGATTGAATAATTTCATAGTTGGTCAGAAATAGTTCCTTAGTGTTAATTGTGTAGAAGAAAAGCTAACATAAAAATTGCTTGTTATTAACATTAAAAAATGAAGAATATTGACCGGGCACAGTGGCTCACACCTGTAATCCCAGCACTTTGGGAGTTCAAGGCAGGCAGATCACTTTGAGCTCAGGAGTTCAAGACTAGTCTGGGCAACACAGCAAGACCCTGTCTCTATTCTAAAAAAATTAAAATTTTATTTTAAAAAAATGAATATTAAGTAATCAGATAATTTACTATTAAAATGTAATTGTATTTTCAGAATTGTCTTGATATTTAAATGCTATTAAGTAAAATTTTCTAAGAAATTTAATTATGGCATATAAAATTATACAAATATACCAAAAGTTACAGTTGTAGATATATTCATGTGAAGAATCTAGAAAACTGATAATCTCAAACTACATGAGAAAGATGGATACACTTCCATGTAAATTAAATAATAATGCAGTATCCTCAGGATTTTAAGGAAACAGAGGGAAGGTTCTCTCTCCCGCCTACCAAAAAGTCCTAGAGAATAGGGAAGACACCTGCCTTTTGCATCCTCAAAAGGAAAAGTAGGCTACAAAACTGAAGCCCCTGTATGTCTTCCAAACCTAAGAAATATCTCCTTTTATGTGTATATATGCATAAAAACTTCAATTTCCAGAGTGTTTCTCAACTACGTAAGTGTATTCCAAACTTTCTCTCCTCTTTTTAATGAGAATCCATGCACATCATGCTACTGTTTTTGATAAGCTGGATCTGACTCCTCAAGGGTTTGGGCAGAAAAAGCAGCAAATTACTGCTATAGAGACTCAGGTACAACAAAACGTTGGTTCCTATCGTCTGTTTGTATCACGTGCAAAAGTCCAAATCTGATTGTAAAGATTACAGAATTCTAGATTTCTTGAAAAAATGTTATTTTATTTGTACAGTTAAAAAGTTGTACATAGAAACTTATAATACAGTTCTGTAAAGCTGAAAGAACTGTCAGGGAAAAGGGAGGGTGTTACTTTTTTTGATTGATCATTAAGGAAGTTAGAGGAATAAAAACACAGTAAAAGGTTTAAAACATTAAGGAACATTTTCCAGGTACAAATTTTATAAATACAAAACAAATTCACAAATTACTTTCAATACTAAATAAATATCTCATTAACAAACTTGGACTTAATACCTGCAGCCAGCACTGGTACAGCACTTCAAGGATATGAGATTGGATTCATTCATGTATAGTGTTGAAAGAATGTACTCATTAAACAATTAAGACATAAACACCTTTTCTAAACTGTGCTATAGCAGAAGACTCATCCATGTAGATAACTCTCCCTTAATACCACAACTTTACAAAAAATCATCAATAACAAAATAAGTCATGGGTGAAAAAATATTTTCCAAGATCTCTGGACACATGAATGATCTCAAAAATGTACAACAACCTCTGTAAACCAGTACTGTATCCAATACATCTATCAAACTTACTAGATACTGAACAAAACTGTAGCAAAGGACATCTTTCCTACATTCTCCTGAGTGCTTAATATTAAAACTGTGAATACAGTGCAGGCCACACTTTCATGTGGTTGATCAGCTGTTATTGCTTTATACATATATGTCTGCTTTAGAGCATGATTTAATGTTCCATTTTCATGAACAATTTGTTTTTCTTCAAATATATCCTTTAGAAGGACAAACTTAGATTCGTGACTTTTTCGCAGCCGGTGGTGTGCTAACTTGGTCCACATTACTGGGTGTGATGTGGAGTCCAAGCTTTTGAGCCTGAATATGAAAAAATGCTTGAAGTCTAGTTCCAGCTTTTGCCTCACTTGTGTTACGAGGGTTGTATTCAAAGCAGTTCGAAAACATTAACTCAATATCATCAATAAACTCAGCTAGAAAGGGAAAGAGAGCAAAAAAGATTAGAATGAAACTACATAAATTGCAATAAATATAATTATTGTATCATATCTGGAAATCTTAATAAAATGGAAGCCCACTTTTTTCTTTAGAAAGAGAAGACTCTGGCTAGGCATGGTGGCTCACATCTGTAATCCCAGCACTTGGGAGGCTGAGGCAGGAGGATCACTTGAGCTCAGGAGTTCAAGACCATCCTGGGCAATATAGCAAAACCCCATCTCTACAAAAAATAGAAAAATTAGCCAGTTGTGGTGGTTCAAGCCTGTAATCCCAGGACTTTGGGAGGCCGAGGCGGGAGGATCATTTGAGGTCAGGAGTTCGAGACCAGCCTGGGCAAGACAGTGAAACTGCATCTCTACAAAAAATTAGCCAGGCATGCCAGGCACAGTGGCTCATGCCTGTAATCCCAGCACTTTGGGAGGCCGAGGCAGACAGATCACCTGAGGTCCAGGAGTTCGACAACAGCCTGGCCAACATGGTAAAACCCCATCTCTACTAAAAATACAAAAATAGCCAGGCGTGGTGGCAGGCATCTGTAATCCCAGCTACTCGGGAGACTGAGGCAGAAGAATCACTTGAACCTGGGAGGCAGAGGTTGCAGTGAGCCTAGACTGCGCCACTGCACTCCAGCCTGGGCCACAGAGCAAGACTCCATCTCAAAAAAAAAAAAAAAAAAAAAAAAGGAGAGGCATGGTGGCCTGCACCTGAGGTCCCAGCTACTTGGGAAGCTGAGGTGGGAGGACAGCTTGAGTATGTGGGGTCAAGGCTGCAGTGAACCAAAATTTTGCCTCTGCACTCCAGCCTGGGCAACAGAGTGAGACCTGTCTCAAAAAAAAAAAAAAAAAAAAAAAAAAGAAGAAGAAAAGAAAAAAGATTCTGAAACAAGGTAGCAGAACTGAGGCTTAAAACTGTTTAACTGTAAATACTTAAAAATTGTTTTATTGAAACTATCCAATTATGTGATCATATACATTATGTGATTATAAAGAACTTCTTTGAGTAAGATCAGATCTATAAAATATCTTTAACTTACTTGATCCTAATTCACCTTTCATCCCCACATACACTAATAAGTACTTGTGGAACCTCATGGGATGCCATCTACACAACTGCATCAAGACACATCCTTTTAATAAGAGAAAAACAGCCTCTACCTCTTTAAACAAAAATAAGTATCAAAGATGCTATAACAGAATGCCTTAGAAAAATAAATATCAAAGAAAAATTACTTACATGCTATTTTATATTCACATTTATTCACTTTTTCACGAATTATATTTAAGGCAATGGGCTTTTTGATGATGTCATAGTAGTCTGGGACCTGTAAAATAATTCAAATATCTCTCTCCACACAGAAAACTTAACTGGAAAGAAGTGTTCAAATAACTAAAAGTTTTGCACTAAAAAAGCAACTCAATATTAACCTCTGAATACTAGTGGTCTGCTAAAATCATGTAATATATTTTCAGTAAATACCATATTGTAGAAGCCTATGTGATATCATTAAAAATGTTAACAATTTATTGTGAAAAGAAAAAATGATCTTGCTCATGGCTCTCTCCCTTCTATGTAGATATATAGATATACATACACACATATGTCTATATAAGTATGTCTATAGATATCTTCTATATATATACACACACACACACACACCATTGTCGCCTGTGACCAAAAGAAAAAAAAATTTTTCAATGAGCATTACTGCATTTGTAATAATAAAATGTATGTAGCAAAGTGTAATTTAGGACAAAAATTACCCAGGCAAAATGAGTCAAACGAGTCAAACTAAGATTTAATTTTTTTATGCTATTCAATAGTAATTAATCCTTCTCATTCTTGCTCTAGAAATCTCCAAGTAGAATTCTGATGATGTCACTTCTTCATTCAGAAACCTTTACCTCACACTGGTGAGTGAGGCCCTTTATAATACATTTGTGTGTCTGAGACTTTCTAACCCAGCCTCATTCAAACCATCCACCATTCACCATATTCTCATTTCTGGGTGTCTACCGTATAGTATATATTCCTTTTTCCCTGAAACATCCTTACTCCATTTCTTACTGTTGAAATTCTTTCTTCAATGACCCGTTCCAAATAGTTCTCCTTAAAAAGCGTTCTAATTATTATTTTGTCCCTCTGAAATACTCAAATCAATCTCTGTGCTCTCTACTTCTGTAATACCATGATAACTTCTATTATCTAGGTCCTATTATCTAGGACCATAACACTGTTCTATCTTTGCTATATAACAGATCACATTCTGCCATATATATATATAACCTAACTACAACACCATCTCATATCCTTCAGTTTGATTACACCATCACTGTTACCTAAGAATACCTATCTTTTTTATTTTTCCTTTGGAGACAGGGTCTTGCCCTGTCACCCAGGCTGGAGTGTGGTGGTGGTATCTTGGCTCATTGCAACCTCCACCTTCCAAGCTCAAGTGATCCTCCTGCCTCAGATTCCCAAGTAGCGGAGACTAAAGTCATGCACCATCACACACAGCTAATTTTGTGTGTGTGTGTGTGTGTGTTTTTTGTAGAGTCAAGGTTTGACCATGTTGGTTAGGCTGGTCTCAAACTCCTGGGCTCAAGCGATCCACCTGCCTCAGCCTCCTAAACTGTTTTTTTTTTTTTTTTTTTTGGGACGGAGTCTCACTCTGTCGCCCAGGCTGGAGCGCAGTGGCACAATCTTGGGTCACTGCAAGCTCCACCTCCCGGGTTCATGACATTCTCCTGCCTCAGCCTCCCAAGTAGCTGGACTATAGGTGCCCGCCACCACACCTGGCTAATTTTTTGTTTTTTTAGTAGAGATGGGGGGTTTCACCATGTTAGCCAGGATGGTCTCTATCTCTTGGCCTCGTGATCCACCCGCCTCAGCCTCCCAAAGTGCTGGGATTATAGGTGTTAGCCATTGCGCCCAGCCCCAAACTGTTGAGATTACAGGTGTGACACATGCACCCAGTCAGAATACCTATTTTTTTTTTTTTTTTTTGAGACAGAGTCTTGCCCAGGCTGGGGTGCAATGGTGTGATCTTGACTCACTGCAACTTCTGCCTCCTGGGTTCAAGCGATTCTGCCTCAGCCTCCTGAGTAGCTGTGATTACAGGCATGCACCACCATGCTCAGCTAATTTTTGCATTTTTAGTAGAGATGGGGTTTCGCTATGTTGGCAAGGCTGGCTCCTGACCTTAGATGATCTACCGCCTTCGCCTCCCAAATTGTTGGGATTACAGGCGTGAGCCACTACACCTGGCCCAGAATACCTTTTATATCAGTGTTTCTCAAAATGTGCTCTCTGGACCAGGACCATCAGCATCATCTGGGGACTTGCCAGAAATCCAAGTGTCAGACATCATTCCAGACCTAATGAATCAAAAACTCTGGGGCTCAGGAATCTATGTTTTAGCAAGCCCTCCAAATGATTCTGATGCATGCAGTAGTTTGAGAACCACTGCTTTACATAAGAAAAATATGATTAATGGTACTCAATTAACTCTATTCATATTCATTACATAGAACAAAAACATTGAGGTCATTGTAACACACCATCATTATTTATAAAGAATCAGTCATGGCTGACTCATTACATGGTGGCTCACGCCTGTAATCCCAGCACTTTGGGAGGCTGAGACACATGGATTACCTGAGGGTAGGAGTTCGAGACCAGCCTGGCCAACATGGTGAAACCCGTCTCTACTAAAAATACAAAAATTAGCCAGGTGTGGTGGCAGGTGCCTGTAATTCCAGCTACTCGGGAGGCTGAGGCAGGAGAATTGCTTGAACCCAGAAGGCGGAGGTTGTAGTGAGCCGAGACCACGTCATTGCACTCCAACTGGACAACAAGAGCAAGACTCCATCTCAAAAAAAAAAAAAAAAAAAAAAAAAGGCTGGGTGCGCTGGCTCATGCCTGTAACCTCAGCACTTTGGGAGGCCAAGACGGGCAGACCACCTGAGGTCAGGAGTTCGAGAACAGCCTGGCCAGCATGGTGAAACCCCGTCTCTAATAAAAATACAAAAATTAGCTGGGTGTGGTGGCAGGCCCCTGTAATCCCAGCTACTCGGGAGGCTGAGGCAAGAGAATCGCTTGAACCCGGGAAGCGGAGGTTGCATTGAGCCGAGATCACGCCATTGTACTCCAGCCAGGGGACAAAAGCAAGACTTCATCTCCAGAAAAAAAAAAAAAAAAAAGAATCAGTCACAAAATTAGAAGGGACTGAGCTGACTAACTCTATTGTTTTCTTTTCTTTTCTTTTTTTTTTTTTTGAGATGGAGTTTCACTATTGTTGCCCAGGCTGGAGTGTGGAGTGCAATGGCACTATCTTGGCTCACTGCAACCCCTGCCTCCCGAGTTCAAGTAATTTTCCTGCCTCAGCCTCCTGAGTAGCTGGGACTACAGGCGCCTGCCACCACACCCGGCTAATTTTTTTGTATTTTTAGTAAAGATGGGGTTTCACTGTGGTAGCCAGTATGGTCTCGATCTCCTGACCTTGTGATTTGCCCACGTCGGCCTCCCAAAGTGCTGGGATTACAGGCATGAGTCACAGCGCCCAGCCAACTCTATTGTTTTCAATATAGGAACTGACATTAAAGACCAGTCTGGCAATGAAGTGAGACCCTGTCTCTTAAAAAAAAAAAAAAAAACAGGGCTGGGCGTGGTGGCTCACGCCTGTAATCCCAGCACTTTGGGAGGCCGAGGCGGGCGGATCATGAGGTCAGGAGATTAAGACCATCCTGGCCAACATGGTGAAACCCCGTCTCTACCAAAAATACAAAAAATTAGTCGGATGTGGTGGCATGTGCCTGTAGTCCCAGCTACTCGGGAGGCTGAGGCAGGAGAATCGCTTGAACCCGGGAGGTGGAGGTTGCAGTGAGCTGAGATCACGCCACTGCACTCTATGCACTCTAGCCTGGGCAACAGAGCGAGACTTCGCCTCAAAGGAAAAAAAAAAAAAAAAAAAGCTGGACCTGGTGGCATGTGCCTGTAGTACCAACTACTCAAGTGGCTAAGTTGGAGGATCACTTGAGTTCAGGAGGTTGAGGCTGCAGCGAATCAAAGTATGCCACTGAACTCCAGCCTGGGTGACAGAAACCCTGCCTCTAAAAACACCTAAGAAATAGACATGGTCAGGTGCAGTGGCTCACGCCTGTAATCCCACCACCTTGGGAGGCCAAGGTGGGCAGATCACGAGGTCAGGAGTTCGAGACCAGACTGACCAACATGGTGAAACCCCGTCTCTACTAAAAATACAAATATTAGCCAGGTGTGGTGGTGTGCACCTGTAATCCCAGCTACTCAGGAGGCTGAGGCAGTAGAATCGCTTGAACCCGGGAGACAAAGCTTGCAGTGAGCCAAGATCACGCCACTGCCCTCCAGCCTAGGCGACAGAGCGAGACTCCTTCTCAGAAAAACAACAACAACAAAAAAAACTAGACAGTGAGTAACAGGTGTTTTGACTACTTCAAAGTTGTCACATGGACTAAATCAGATAATATACATGAATACATTTTATCAAGTCTAGTAATTACCTGGATTTTAGAAACAAGTTTCAAAAAAGGCCAGCTGTCATCATGTCGTACCAATTCTACAACAAGTTGTTCAAAAGCAGATAATTCATGAACTCCTCCCTGTCGGCCAGAACTCCTTCGACCCAGTGTCACAGGCGATGACTCTGAGTAAATAATTACAACATTTTAGGTGATAACAAAGCAAAATATTTGTTCACTACAAGCCAAACGGGATATATAAATACCAAATTCCAACAGAAAACAGACGCTCCATACACTGAGATGTTAACTATTTTCTGGGAGACACGAAAATCTGACCAAAATCAGATCAAATATTTGTTATTTCCTTTTTGATCTTAAAAATGTCCAATTGCATTACACATTCATTGGGAACAGATTTTCAGAGTGTAATGCAAAAGAAAAATCTAGAACACAAAGTTTTTGGATGATTTTTACTCAATTTTATTAAAAATACTTTTCAGCTACAGTTAACTGAAACTAAGCAATTCTCTAGTATTTCCTAAAGCATATCCTTCAGAAAGTAACCTCTTCAGATCTAGAAACTAGGCTTACATATAAATTACCTTGCATAACAGAAAAGCAATTTTCACTGGTAAAGTAAAAGATTATTCTTACAGATCTTAATTTTATTTATTTATTTAATTTAATTTAATTTAATTTTATTTTTGAGACGGAGTCTTGCTTTGTTGCCCAGGCTGGAGTGCAGTGGCATGATCTTGGCTCACTGCAACCTCTGCCTCCCGGGTTCAAGCGATTCTCCTGCTTCAGCCTCTCGAGTAGCTGGGATTACAGGTGCCTGCTACCACACCCAGCTAATTTTTGTATTTTTAGTAGAGATGGGGTTTCACCATGTTGGCCAGGCTGGTCTCGAACTCTTGACCTCAAGTTATCCGCCCACCTCGGCCTCCCAAAGTGCTGGGATTATAGGTATGAGCCACTGTGCTCAGCCACAGATCTTAATTTTAATGTCTAGATAATGTTCTAAAAGCAAAATGCTTTCTCACAGACCTAAGACAGGTATAGTATAATGAAATCTAAAGTATATGCATTGGTAGAAAGGGTAGTATAGTCCATATATATATTCAGATGTATAAATTCTCTCCTTGCGGTGTAGATCCACACATTTCCCCTTTTATTTCTCTTTAGTACTAGGCTTAGCCATTTCACAAATCAATGGAAACAAAAAAATTTTCTTCCTAGTTTTTTCAGTAAAAATGTTTCAAGTATATTATTTCTCCAAATAGCTTGGAGAATTGGGGAAAAGCAAAAGAGATAAGGGGATAGGAAAAGCTAAATTAGATCCTGACTGGTGCAAAATTATGACACTTCCCCTAAAAAACTTGACAATCTGGTGACTGCATTAACAGATTACGTGCCATTCTTTCACCAATGAATTCCTTAATCCTGCTGCATATCTGAATAATGCAATATAACGTTATCTAAAATTCTTTGAAGAACAGTGGTTTTTTTTTTTTTTTGAGAAACAGTGGCATTTTTTGTGTTTAACTTCATTTAAAAAACAACAACAAAAAAAATAGGGCTGGGCTGGGTGCGGTGGCACACACCTATAATCCCAACATTTGGGAGGCCAAGGCAGGCAGATAACTTTGAGCTCAGGAGTGCAAGACCAGCCTGGGCAACTTGGCGAGACCCCATCTCTACAAAGAATACAAAAGCCAGGCTTGGTGGTGCATTCTTGTAGTCCCAGCTACTTGGGAGGCTGGGGCTGGAGGATTGCTTGAGCCGGGGAAGCAGAGGTTGCAGTGAGCTCAGATTGCGCCATTGTACAGCAGCCTGAGTGACTGGCATAATTAACAATAAAATTAAAAAATCAAAATTTTATTACCACTTACGTTAAAAACAAGGGAAAGGAAGAGATTATGAATCTCTTTATGAATAAAGAGATTAGTCTATGAATAATGATTACTATAAACAAAAATGAGAATTAAAAAGACAGCTGAGGCCGGGTGCAGTGGCTCACACCTATAATCCCAGCACTTTAGGATGCCGAGGCGGGTGGATCACCTGAGGTCAGGAGTTCAAGACCAGCCTGGCCAACATGGCGAAACCAACCGTCTCTACTAAAAATACAAAAATTAGCCGGGTGTGATGGCGCATACCTGTAATCCTGCTACTTGGGAGGCTGGGGCAGGAGAATCGCTTGAACCCAGGAGGCAGAGGTTGCAGTGAGCCGAAATCACACCACTGCACTCCAGCCTGGGAAACCGAGCTAGACTCTGTCAATCAATCAAATAAAAAATAAAAAGACAGCTGGTCATCACTTCCTAAAAATATTACTGCTTCCAACTCTCCCTTTCCCCCAAATTCAGTATTTGAGATGGGAACCTTACCAAATTATCTGATGTAGCTTGTCTAGGTGATGCTGAGTTTGTGTGTTTTGAAGGAGGAAAAGGTAGGAGAGAGTGAAATGTGTTACAATGTAGTATCCTGACACTGGTGAAATATTGGCCAAATATCTCCATTAAAAACAGAACGTCATGTGCAAGTTTATTACCCTGCTTCACTAGTAGAAACACTAGTAATATAATTTACCTTTATTCATTAAATAGTTGCCCCTTCAATGACTATTATGCTTCAGGTCAGATTGTTCCCTAATAACTTTGTGTATCTTAGTGACAGACTTTAAAAAATGATCCAAAGTATCTCAACATTCAGTATTTCCAAATTATTCAATCTTTCTAGGGAAGGAAGAGTTTAGATTTCTTCATACCTGGAGATTGTCTTTTTCTGCATCTTCTTGTGGATTCACTCTCTTGGAGAGAAAGTTTTGAAGCAACATTTAAAGATCTTGACTGCTCACTTGACTTTGTGGCAATGACTCTGAAGTTAGGGAAGTTGGGACTATTTTCTGGTGTATTATTAGCACTTTTCCTGCCTCTGCGTTTTCTACGAGGACTAAGCAATTCCACAAATACATCTGCTTGCAGTGGGCCATGACTGTGGCGAGTAGAACGACTGGCAATTCTTAAAGATTTTGTTTCTGTAGGAGGAGCAGAGCTTATCTTTCTTAGGCTTCTACCAGTTTTAGAAGAAACAGTTGTTTTGGGTGTGCTCTGCTGACTCCTTGAAGGGTATCTTCCAGGTTCTTGTCGCTGGCCACGACTTGAGAAAGAAGAGCTAAGTTTCCCTCTTGTTTTAACGGGCAATCTAACTTGTGGTCTTCCTCGTTTGGGTAGGCTATAAATATTGTTAGAAAACACAATTATTGTACAGAGCAATGAACACATGATTAGCTTTATTCTCCTTGTTGTATTTAGCCAATGAGTTTATATAAATTTTGTATATAAACTGAGACTTATCCTAGACTCAATTCCTTAGAGAGTCAATAAGTTTTAAGTTTTCAAGGGAATCTAAAATGTGCTTTCATTTATTTCTTTGAAATGTGAAGAGAATTATCTGCAAAGAGAATATTTTATAGTTTCTTTTCTTTTTGAGACAGAGTATCACTGTCACACAGGCTGGCGTGCAGTAGCACGATCACAGCTCACTGCAGCCTGACCTCCCTGTGATCAGGTGCTCCTCCCATCTCAGACTCCTGAGTAGCTAGGTGTGCCCCACCATGCCTGGCTAATTTTTGTAGTTTTTTGTAGAGATGGGGTTTTGCTATGTTGCCCAGGCTGGTCTCAAACTCCTGGACTCAGGCGATCTGCCTGCCTCGGCCTCCCAAAGTGCTGGGATTAGAGGCATGAGCCACCATGCCCAGTTGATATCTTCTTGGTAACTTCAGGACATCATTATGAAAATTAAGCGCTAAATTCTGATAAATTGTAATAAAATGCTCAGGAGAACCAACAAATAGACTTAGTCAATCATGTTGGAAAACTTAAAAAGTAATGAAGTAATCTTAAAATGAAATTCTTTTGTTTCTTTTTGCTACAGGAGACTACCACTTTTCATTATCATTGATACTGAGGTAACCTACAGTTTTAGCCAATGGCTGTCAATGAAGTGGGCCTTGAACCTGTGGTTCCTGAATACCACGCCAAGAACCTCTCTGTTGTCTTCTGATTCTGACTATAAAACTATATTTAATCTTTTAACTGTCCTTAATTAAAAGAATGCAACACCTCCATTAACTCATTATCCCTCTCCCCATATACCTGGACTTCCAGTTTATCCCATGTACTTGCAAGAATTTTCCACATTCTTTATTATCTTTATGCCTAACATAATATTGCCTTCACAAGCTACAGGAAAGATGGCTCTTCTAGCTGGTATTTCTTAAAACTTTGTTTAAAACAGATGTGGTGGCTCTATCTTAACTTCTCCAACTGTGGTCCTTTTGTACTTTGACAGTTCTAGGTTGCCTTGCTTCATACTCATTTTCCTGCTTCCACAAGAATGGGTTTCAAATGTTTAAAAAACCACAAGCCGGGGGGAGGGGGATGATAAGAACAAGGAGCACAATGACTTCCCTGATGTGACTGGCTATGGTCAGGCCTGCTGACAGAAAACCCCTAGTAGATCTGTCTAGCTTATAGCTACCGGTTAGACATAGGCACACCTCATTATATATAGTGCTTTGGGCTTCACTGCATGCTACAATTATAAAGTTTTTCTTTTTTTTTTTTTTTATTAAACAAACTGAAGGTTTGTGGCAATTCTGCCTCAAGCAAGTTTATTGGCATAATTTTTCCAACAGCATGAGCTCACTTTTTGTGTCTCTGTCAGATGACTGTTAGCATATTTTAGCAATACATTATTTTTAAATTAAGGTATAGAAATGTACACTTAGGAGACTATAGTGTAATGTAAACATAATTTTTATATGCCCTGGGAAACCAAAAAAATTTGTAACTTGCTTTATTGCTGTGGTCTGCAACTGAAACGGCAATATCTTTGAGGTACGCCTGTATATCTACCTTGTGGATATAAATATCCCTTTATTTCAGCCCTCAACCAGAGGTTCAAGTAAGGGGAGACTGCCCCAGTGTTGCCACAGAAGGAATATCCAGGCTCCACAGTCATTCACTAGGCCTGAATGACACAGCATGCTAAGCTGCAGAATACTTAGTTATATGGTAGTATAGAAGCTGTTTCCAGGTGCTAAGGTGGCAGAAGTATAAAAATACAGTGTGCTTCTTGGCATTTGTCACTCTGAGATTCCCCAAATTATCAATACTCCCTTGGGAATATTTTTGAATGTTTATAATACATAAAAAGCAAGGGTAACTTCAGGCCACTATACGTTAGTTTTTTCATTTGTTTTGAGATGGAGTCTCGCTCTTGTCACCCAGACTGGAGTGCAATGGCGTGATCCGTTAGCTCACTGCAACCTCCGCCTCCTGGGTTCAAGCAGTTCTCCTACCTCAGCCTCCTGAGTAGCTGGGATTACAGGTGCCCAACACCCTGGCTAATTTTTCTATTTTTAGTAGAGACGGGGTTTCACCATGTTGGCCAGGCTGGTCTCAAACTCTTGACCTTAGGTGATCTGCCTGCCTCGGCCTCCTAAAGTGCTGGGATTACAGGCATGAGCCACCGTGCCCAGCCTATGTATTAGTTTTAAACTAAGTTACAGACCCTAACTATTCCATTTGTATTTGAATAGTGGAGAAATTGTCTAACTAAGACCTACTGACTCATTTTATTACATGTTAGGACTTACCTGACTTCTTCCTCTTCTTGAGAGTCATCTTCATCTTGTTCTACCTCATACTCTTCCTCCTCACTTTGACCTTCTTCTTCATCACCATCAACTTCATCATCCTCACCTCCCATACTGTCTTCCACATCTTCATCACTTTCCAAGGATGGTCTCTGTCTAGAGGAGAGTCTTCTAGGACGTTGCTTTGGTCGACATTCTGGACAAAACCAATCTCCTTCAGGCACAGTCTGAACAAATCACATAAATGATCATTAATCATCTATTGCTCAAAATCTCAATGTCTCATTTCTAATCTGATAAGAAGAAAAAAATACCTTGAGCTTTGGTCGAACACAGTAGGTATGATGACCCCTATCACAGCCATCACAAAGAACCATGTTTTCAGCATCGCCTTTCTTTCTACATATCTTGCAGCGCGCATTCAGTATAGATTTAGACCAAATCACACTACGATCCAAGGTGGATAGGTGAAGAAAAACTTGGGACAGACTAGCAGAAGAAAGGAGAGACTCTCTCCAACGGTCCAGAATTGTTTTGTAAGAACGCCCACTGTCACTGGCATCTTAAATGAAAAGGGAAAGTGATTACAATTTTTAGGCAAACCTAGTAATCTTCCTAGAAATAGTTGGTAAACACAGGTTAGATTTTACATTTCTTTTCTTCTGATACTTAACAAAAAGACCATGCTGATATTAAAAACAAAAATCTCATGGAAAATATTTGCTGAGCCACATCTCGTTTATGACATAAGGAATTACTTAAATTCATAAATCAAATGCTAAGGGATTTTAATAGCAAAAGAGAAAAATAATTCAGACAATTTGTTCTCAATCTAGTCTTTGTATCAAATCTTGATCTAATTTTAAAAACTGGTTACATATGATTCCAAGTCTAAGTTACTATTCACTTGAATGAAGTATGTTACTTCCTCATCTCATAAAAGATGGACTGTTCTCCAAATTAAATATCTTCTATCTCTAAGAAAATAGTTTTAAAATTGTGGTAAGTAAAAACAATGTGAATACTACCAAAAAGGATTTTTCAGCACTAATATTTATATAGAAACATTTGAAACCTTCTGTCAGTCAACATCACCATTTATCTTCTGGGCTAAAAAATTTAATCATCTGATTAAATGCTATCAATCAATAGTCATTTTATACTGGTGTGTGATTTCCATTTCAATCTTCAATATTGTTACCACCTTACTGTTCCTAAAACATGCAAGGTATATAAGACTCCACACATAATCTTGTTCTATAATACCATTATTTCCTACTATTATCCTCAAATAAAACCTCTTGGGCAGTAGCATAACGGTTAAGAAAATGCAGGCTTTGGAGTCAGTCTGCTCTGGGGTGAGTACTGGCTCCCCCATATGAACTTGGGCAAGTTAACCCATCTGTCTCTCAGGTTCCTCAACTGTAATACATGGAGAGTATCTGCCTCTAAGAGTTGTTGGAAACATTAAATGAGATAATACGCATAAGGCATATGAAGTGTCTGTCAGAGTAAATGCTAATATTACTATCATTATTTGTGCACGGTATAGCTCCCCTATGTGCGGCACTTTAGAAAATATGAAACTAGTCTATTCTATGGTCCCTATACTTCAAGGAATGTTTAGTACAGCTGGAAAAGTGAAGAAATACACAATGAGTTAAAACCAAGAGACCTGTCAAGTACCAATGGACCTCGAGCTCCTGTTTGCCTGTTGGGCAGGGTGAGATTGACAGGACATGAAAACTAGGGCCCATCTAGGTGGTTAGTCCCTCTCTAAAAAGCTAGGACCGGGCCGGGCGCGGTGGCTCAAGCCTGTAATCCCAGCACTTTGGGAGGCCGAGACGGGCGGATCACAAGGTCAGGAGATCAAGACCATCCTGGCCAACATGGTGAAACCCCGTCTCTACTAAAAATACAAAAAAAAAACTAGCCGGGCGAGGTGGCGGGCGCCTGTAGTCCCAGCTACTTGGGAGGCTGAGTCAGGAGAATGGCGTGAACCCGGGAGGCGGAGCTTGCAGTGAGCTGAGATCCGGCCACTGCACTCCAGCCTGGGGGACAGAGCGAGACTCCGTCTCAAAAAAAAAAAAAAAAAAAAAAAAAGCTAGGACCCCAGAAGGCTACCCCCTTCAAGTGTCAGGGTGGAAACAGGTGCTACATAAAAAAATGGAGAGCAAGAAAATTGATTCACCTGGACTTTGGTGTTGGGTAGAAAGGGAACATAATCTCCCTGAGGATCAAGCAAAGCCTTGAACAGGTTTAAAACTGAAAAAACATAGGCTAAGATTTTAAAGTAGTCTAGGGTTGCTAGTGACCTCAAGTGAATGGCTGAAACAAGTACAATTTTTTGCAAATTCTCTCTGAAGACATTTTCAGATCAAATCTGAGGAATGAGAGTTAATCAAAACCACAAGGCACATGTGGAAACAAGACACTAAGTGAAAGCCAGCAGAATCAAACTCATAAAGACTTCAGATACTAGAATTAGAAACAGAATATAAAATAACTGTTTAATATGTTTTAAGAAGTTTAAAATATGAATAACCAGGCAGTTTGAAAAAGAACCAGTTAGAACTTTTCAAAATGATTGAGACTAAAAACTGAGGCAAAAACACGATGGATGAGTCAAATGGCTCTTCAAAGCTGAGATGTTAATGAAGTTGGGAAAATACAAATATATTACTTAGAATGCAGCATCAATATTTTTCTGTCTTTATGTTGTTTTGTTTTAGGTGTGTCTTTTGTAGACAGTATATAAAACCAGCTAGATTTTATGTTAATACAGTCTTTTCTTCTATTTTCTTCACTTTCCTTGTCAACTATCCAAAACTGTATCTAACTTTTAATTGGAGCCAGATGTGGTAGCTCTCACCTGTAATTCCAGCACTTTGGGAGGCTGAGGCAGGTGGATCACATGAGGCCAGGAGTTTGAGACCAGCCTGGCCAACACGGTGAAACCCCATCTGTACTAAAAATACAAAAATTAGCCAGGTGTAGTTGCAGATGCCTGTAATCTCAGCTACTTTGGAGGCCGAGGCAGGAGAATGGCTTGAACCTGGAAGGCAGAGATTGCAGATTGTGCCACTGCACTCCAGCCTGGGTGACAAGAACCAGACTCGGTCTCAAAAAATATGTATATATAATAATTGGAGAGTACAGTCCACTTAAATGCATTTGATTTATTTCTCCCCTCTCATTGTGAGCGTTTTAGTTATCTTAGTTTTTAAAATGTAAGCCTTCATGAAAAGTTCTGGCCTGAGCAGGGCCTCCAAGGAATGAGGTAGCAAGAATAGCTAGTTCAAAGATCATGATCTTCCTGGGTAAATCAGAGAATATTCTCATTGGTAATGGCAAGGAATAAGGTTGCAGAGGTCAATGTGAAGGAATGGGAACAAAGACAAATTATAAGAACTTTTAGAATCTTGGAAATTAGTTTGAATGATTTTTTAATGAAAAGGTTGATGAAATGCTATGGGATTTGATTAACGAGATGGTTTAAGAAAATTAAACCAGCAGTAGCTCAAGGCCCAATTCTTATTCTAGTCCATAATGAATGTGCCTGTTTTGCTGTGTTTGCATAGTACTGATACAAGGATAGAAAACAGTATATACAATTGATTCCATTTTTCTGTTGTTTCCTTATCCTTGCTTTTCCCCCAGATTACACAACCATAAAGGGCAGAAAATGTCTTGTCTATCTTTTATTTTTCATTATGCTAGCACAGATAAATTCCTCAATAAATTATTAAAAGGAGCTTACTAATATAAAATATTGGCAGTCACGTGATCAAATATTATAGTAGGAGACTTCATACTGTTCAATGGCCACTATACAGTAATCCATGTGACCAGGACAGGCTTCTCTAGGGGACAAAACATAAAAACTCTTGTCCTATGTCTCTTCAAGCTAGTAAAAGAAAAAAAATGCTGTGAATAAATACTTTATGTGAAACAGGTAAACATAAGTTCCATAGCCGTTCATTCTTTTCACTGATAGCTAAGTATACAAAGATTCACCAGTGTCAGCTTTCTGTATGCCAATTTAGAAGAGTGATTAGCTGAGGTGTGAAACATAGAAAGGGAAACACTAGGAAGATATTATTTTAAGCTTATCCCCAAGTCCATTCCCTTCCAAAAAAAATCAAATCCAAGGTTTTCCTTCAAAAGCTAAATATGCAAATGAGTACTCAGCCACAGAGAAAGTAAAATCATAATTCTTTAAAAAGACAAAACAGAAATTTCTTTAAAAAGTTAAAAATTTACCATCTCTCACACTAGATTGATCTTCCTCTCTCTTTTTCTTGTCCTTTTTTTTTCTATCTCCCTTTTGATCCTTATTAATTTCTGTGTTACCTAATTTCAAATTGATATAGTTAGTTGAGGATTTTTTTTTATAGCTTAAGGGTTTAACCATAAGTATGACTTTAAAAATAACGGAATTATCAATCTTAAAAAACATCCTCATGTATCTTACCTAAAACATTTAAAACATTTTATCTTCCCCAAATGAAAAGTCTACTTTTATCAGTATGATTAATCTCTAGAATAAAAGGGACATATTAGAGAAGGTAGAACATAAGTAGAATTTTTATTTCTTACATGCTTCCTCAAGAAACTGAAATGATTTCTGAAGCTAAATTGGGAAAATGCTTGCTATGATTAATTTGCTATCCTGAAATATTATCAGGTGAATGGAGAATTTCAATATATATTCCATCTCAAATATTCATAAAGTAAAACCTGCTTTTCTCTCCCCAATTAATGATATTCTTGATTACTTTATTTCAGATAGCCTAACTCCATCTCCTGCTGTCCTGTGCAAAACCTTTCAAAGGCTTAAGTTATTCTAATAACTTTTTATGGAGCATCAACAGTAGACACCCATATTATAAATGACCAACATTTGACTTCAACCAATATTTAACTTTGACACTACCAAAGTAACCAACTTTTCTTACTTCACTTATTTCTTAAGATCTTGAATTATAATTTTCCATCTTTTGGGATGAAATTAATGTTTGAAAACCACTGTATACAAACCAGCATAAGGAACAGTCTCTCTCATATAACTACTAGACAAGTTGTAACAACTCTCAGTATTAACCTGTTTGTCTAAATATTTAATAAGTTGTGCAGATGAAAATACAGACATACTAAACAATTAATTTGATATTCCCCCCTTCGACTTATAAAAAACTTTAATGAAAATTTCAGAAGTGGGAAAATAAGCAGTATTGTGTCTTATCCTTTTACTGTTTTGGAATCGCAGTGTTAGTAGTAACAGTATCTTACATTTATAAAAGCTGAATGACTTACAAATAATTTTAAATTGAAATTTTAATTTAGGTAATTGTGTATTAATATGGGGTTGTAATAAATACAGAGTGATCCCTTGTACATAAAGGATCAGAAAGAAAATAAGAAATGCTGAAGACTGGGAAATAAAAGTGACATAGCAAATACCAACTCTGCTGTCTTTGGGAGCTGTGATTATACATATTTTATTTCTTACAATTGCTACTTTCAATGTGGCCAGTGGGTTATTAAGCTTATGGTAGGATTATCAGTTTACAAAAGTGTGAATAGACTTAATGAGATACTGGCCACAAACTCTTCAATTTAAAAAGTTTACAAATATATTCACATTTCAAAACTGCTCTGATTGCATTGTCTATGAATACTTTGTTCTAATACTCAATGAGATATCAAAAAATTATTATTTTTATATTTTTATTTTTTTGAGACAGTTTCTCTCTTGTTGCCCAGGCTGGAGTGCAATGGTGTAGTCTCAGCTCACTGCAACCTCTGCCTCCCAGGTTCAAGCGATTCTCCTGCCTCAGCGTCCCAAGTAGCTGGGATTACAGGCACGTACCACCACACCCACCTAATTTTGTATTTTTAGTAGAGACGGGGTTTCACCATGTTGGTTAGGCTGGTCTCAAACTCCTGACCTCAGGTGATCCACCTGCCTCGGCCTCCCAAAGTGCTGGGATTACAGGCGTGAGCCACCACTCTCAGCTAAAACAATTATTTAAGGATTTTAGTCAATTCAAGTAGTTCTTTCAATATGAGACCAAAAAGATACGGTTTAAGAAAGTTATTTCTTCCATGATCCCATTACAAGAATATAAATATCTCAACATGATGAGTTATAAATTAAACATCTCAAAAAGGCAACAGGGAATTAGAGACAGTTATTATTATAAACATTGATTTAGAATTCTGAAACAGATATTTTCCCAAAAACATAATGATTAGGTTCCTAGATTAGTCCCTAAAAACCCACTAATTTCATAATTTGTGAAAAAGTGATACAGATAGTATTATTCCTCACTATACATTATAGAGCATTTCCTCACCCGTGTTCCGTTTAACACTTAGTATTTCTGATTTAGCATGTGGGTCAGTGACTCTTATCATCAAATTATGCCCCAAATGGTAAACTTTTAAGTCACTTACTTCGGGTTCTCTTTCAAATAACAGGAAAAAAAAAGTTACACATAATCTTTGATTATTTAAGGTCTGGCTAGTTATAGGTTTTGGTGATCTTTTTTTTCTTTTAAAGAGACAGGGTCGTACTCTGTCACCTAGGCTACAGTGCAGTGGTGTGGTCACAGCTCATTGTAACCTCAAATTCCTGGGTTCATGGGATCCTCCCACCCCAGCCTCTGGACTACAGGTGCACGCCATGATGCCCAGCTAATTTTTTAAAAAAATTTTGTAGAGATGGGGTTCTTGCTATATGATGCCCAGGCTGGTCTCAAACTCTTGGGCTCAAGCGATTCCGCCTCAGCCTCCCAAAGTGTTTAGATTACCGGCATGAGCCACTGTGCCTAGTTGGTAATCTTTCTTTTGGTGAAACTCTTCACAAAAGACTGTATTACTCTAAAAATAAATCTCACCTTAAAAGAACTCATTTAAAAATGAAAACATCTCGAGTTTTTAAGATTAGTTTATCAGTTTCATTATGTCAGACAATAAAATTCTATTAAAGGCCAACTCAAAATTACTTATAACTGAACTAATATTTTGAAATAAAAACAGATACTTACCAAGTGGAGCTTTCAGAAAACGCCGCTCAATGCCCTGCTCTATTTGAAAGAGTGCCATTGCCAGATAATGAACCACACTGCTCACTGACTGTGGTGTACTTGCATTCGTTGATACAGTACTTGGAGTTTCTGTTTTTATCCCCAAAAGTCTACAATTAAAACAATTCAGAGTTTATGGTACTTAAAAACACTATTAGGTAAAACTTGAGTCCATTCATTGGTTCAAATGCTTATTTATACCATTGTAAAAAAATCATTTCCTCAGTCTCAAGGAGTTGCAGTAAACAGTAGGGAAGGGAGATTCATTTAGAAGGACTAAGGGTAAATATTTGAAGGAGAGAGAGAAGAGGGAAGGCTTATAGGAAAGGTTTTAGAGAGGTGACATTGTGATGGGCCTTAAAGCCTAAGTATTTCAGGCAGCTTATCTCTATTTCTCGTTTTGCTTTTTTTTTTTTTTTTTTTGAGACAGAGTCTCACACTGTTGCCCAGGCTGGAGTGCAGTGGCATGATCTCAGCTCACTGCAAGCTCTGCCTCCCAGGTTCACACCATTCTCCTGCCTCAGTCTCCTGAGTAGCTGGGATTACAGGCACCTGCCACCATGCTCGGCTAATTTTTTGTATTTTTAGTAGAGACAGGGTTTCACTATGTTGGCCAGGCTGGTCTCGAATGCCTGACCTCATGATTCACCTGCCTTGGCCTCCCATAATGCTGGGATTACAGGTGTGAGCCACTGCACCTGGCCGAAAATGATCATTTTAAAGTGCAAACTCATTCACTCAAAGCCTTTGTACATGGTTTTTCTTCCCAGTGTCCTATTTTTCTCAACTTTAGGGCTCAGCTTTGCAGTCACTTCCTCTTGCACTTCCTTTACTGTCTCCCATGTTCCACTAACACAAGTAGCCCGCCCATTTACTTCATTTGCACTGGGTATAACCTTCTGTCAGAACACCGTTCTAGTAAATATAATGCTAGCCTCATGTTTCTCCATTGTTCCCTTCTAGATGACAAATTGCTTAAAGGCATATAATATCCAAAATAATCTTGAAAAAAATAAAAGTATCTACAGATATAAGGTATAGATTCTGATTAGTAATAATATTTAATACATATATTAGAGATGAGGTCTCATTGTTGCTCAGGCTGGAGTGCAGTGGCACAATCATTATTAGCTCACTGCAGCTTTGAAGTCCTGGGGTACAACAATGGAATAGATGGGACTACAAGTGCATGCTGATCAGGCGTGGTGGCTCAGGCCTATAATCCCAGCACTTCGGGAGGCTGAGGCAGGTGGATCATGAGGTCAGGAGATCAAGATCATCCTGGCCAATGTGGTGAAACCCTGTCTCTACTAAAAATACAAAAATTAGCTGGGCATGGTGGCACGTGTCTGTAATTCCAGCTACGTGGGGGGCTGAGGCAGGAGAATTGCTTGAACCAAGGAGTAGGAGGTTGCAGTGAGCCGAGATTATGCTACTTTACTCCAGCCTGGCAACAGAGCAAGACTCTGTCTCAAAAAACAACAACAACAACAAAAACCAAATGCATGCCACCATGCCCAGCTAATTAAAAAAAAAAAGAGACAGGGTCTCACTATGTTGCCCAGGCTGGTCTCCAACTCCTGGCCTCAAGTGATCCTCCTGCTTCAGCCTCCCGTGTAGCTGAGACTACAGGCCCCAGCCATCTTGCCTAGCTCAAATAATACTCAAGTCTACCAGAATTTACTAAGTTTTCCTATAGAAAAGAAGAATGATAGTATAATTACTTTCCGAAATTAATAAAACCTTAAGTTCAAAGATTAAAAAAAAAAAACTTTTGAGAATCATTATTTAAATGAATTGTCTTTTGGTTGCAATAGTACAGAGTGGAGTAACAGAGATCCTGAGGTTTAGAAAATGATCATTCCAGTGGTTACAAATATCAAGGTCCTCATGACAAGTTTTTAAAATAAGAAAAAGCAACATATTTACTTAAAAAAACAAACAAACAAACAAACAAAAACCCTTAAAATGGCAAGGAAAAGTAATGGTTACTTTAGAAAAACCCTTTTGTACCTGTCTTTTACTATGACCTTTGTTTGTTCATCAATTTCCATCTCTTCTACGTCTTCATTCACAGTTTTAATTATCCCATTTTCCTTGTTTTCCTCACTTAATAGCTCATACCGTCCACTTTCTAATGCTGATCTCCAGATATATCGATCTGTAACCTGTAACAAAATTCAAACTTACTAACCATGAAAAATGGAATATACTGTTTCTGAGAGGTATGAAGTTCAATATGCATATAAAATCAATTCATGGATATTTTAGAAATGATTATGAATCAAAAAGGTATCTAAAAATAAGGTTACTAAGTGGCCAAAGTGGAATTCATATTCTTCATAGATGAAAACCATACTACCTTACTTTCTGTATAAATAAATCATGAACAGTTCTAAGATTGGTCACTTGATAGCAGCAAAAAAGTGATAGATGATGGCCAAGGCATGAACAGAATACATTATAAGCCATGAATTACAGATTTTTAAAAGGTAACAAAGAAACGAACCAATCAACCAGACTCAGCGGAGAAGGCAGGGGCTAGTCAAGGAAGAAGAAAATATCCTTACACATTACAACATCTGATGAAAATATCAGAAAAAATATTTTGATGCAGGGGAATAAACAAGTTTTCATAAAAAGTTTATCATTCTCTGGTGTTTATTCAAAACACATATGCCTTGTCTATGCCATATAATTAACAAATATGACCAAAATTCTGGACCAAGTAGGTTAGACAAACTAAAAATGGGAACAAGTACAAACCTTAATTGCTCCTAATGTTCCTTGGTAGATTCTATCTTCAATATCTAAAAGAAAATCTCTCAGCCTTAGTTCAAGTTGCTTTTCTGCACACATTTGAGATGGATCATATGCATTGGAAGATCTTCCCCGACTGTATGTTGGTTTGCTATCAGGCTGAGGTTTGTCTGAAACAGTAAATACTTTTATTACGATTTTCTTATTAAAAACTACAATTACTCCATGTGGCTGTTATGATCTTGAAATAATGGATATAAAAGTGCTTTGTAAATCCTCAAGTGCCACAAATGAATGAATATCATTTATCTTATAAAGCCCTTGTACGGCTACTCAGGAGGCTGAGGTAGGATTGCTTGAGCCCAGGAGTTTGAGTCTGCAGTGAACTATGATATGCCACTGCAATCCAGCCTGGGCAACAGAGCGAGACTCTCTCTCTAAATAAATAACTAAAGCCCTTGTATCCAGAATATATAAAGAACTCTTACAGCACAATAAAAAGACAACCCAATTTTAAAATGGGCAAAGGATCTGAATAGCTATTTAAGGAAGATATACAAATGGCCAATGAGCACATGTAAAAGATGCTCAACACTGGCCAGGTGCAGTGGCTCACGCCTGTAATCCCAGCACTTTGGGAGACCAAGGCGGGTGGATCACCTGTGAGGTCAGGAGTTCGAGACCAGCCTGGCCAACATGGTGAAACCCCATCTCTACTAAAAATACAAAAAATTAGCTGGGCGTGGTGGCAGGCGTCTGTTATCCCAGCTACTTGAGAGGCTGAGACAGGAGAACACACTTGAACCCAGCAGGCAGAGATTGCAGTGAGCCCAACAGCCTGGGCAACAAAAACGAAATTCTGTCTCAAAACAAACAAACAAAACACCCCAAGAATTGTGATCTACAGTTTTTAATCCTGAAAAAAACTGAAGTGGTCATGGTAACATGCCCCTAAATTTAAGCAATTGTTTTTTAAATTTTGATTTAATTTAAAATGTTTTTAGCTCTATTTTCTCCCCCACAGGAAACAAGTAAGCAATTCTTTACCTAGAGAATCTCATTTATTAATATAAAAACTCACATCTAAAAATGCCTTACTGCTTTTTCTTATTTGTCATCAGTGGACAAACCATCAAGCAGGAAATGCTGCTATCCGACCTGCCCTTGCAGCCAAGCTCCAAAGAAGTGACCATTAGTGGAACTTCTCCCTGGACTCTCAGCCAAAACCCTTAATGAGTAACCTCACTCACCATAATCTGTCCAAAACTGATGGCAGCCTTAGAGTCTATTCTTGGATTTCAGAGTCTACTGACCAAGGAATAAGGAGATCAGGGAGAATATGTATTTTGTTATACCATAGATGTGTTCCTCATAATTCAAATAGAACCCAGTGGAATTTAGATAATCTTGTTTCTATAAAGAAATACATTCCCAAACTCTAACTTGCAAACTAAAAGGATAGCCTAAATCAAAGATAAGGTGCTGTAAATGTATATCTAATAGCTTGAAAAAATGCTTAATCCTGAATGACCAGAGATTAGGGGGAGGAAAAAAAAGTAAAAACAATTTTCATTGAAAATTTACCTGAAAAATGAAATTTCTCTTCAGAAAAACGGGCTAGCTGTGCACATATTCTGCTTTTCTCTTGTAACAAAGTTTCTTTTAAGGCACTTTCTCTATGTCCTCTAGAATTAAGAGCTTCAATAAGCTGGTCTAGCTGTTCACAAGAACTGTAAAAGCACCACCGATTTGGCTTATGCACTGGTTTTGGCAGCTGCACAGAATGGTCACGTGGACCTTGCTCAATGTTGGAGGTAGATTCAGACATCAAAGGCTCTCCAGTTTTAGTGGATACCTGAGGATCTTGAGACTGTACATTATTCTGAAATGATGAAGGTCTAGGCAACAGCATGTCTTCAGTGAGACCAGAATAATCCTCTTCAATAAAGAGTCCAGGAATAGAAGGGAAAATCCAGTATCGTCTATACATGCGGTCACGACCCAGGGGAAAGATATTGGTACAGGCTATGGCACTCTGGATTTTTTCTAAGAGCTCTTTCTCTTTTCGTTGGTGTTCCTGTTTTAATGCTTCATCCTCTTCAGCAGTAAGAGGCTCTCTTGTCACACAGTTGATCTCTTCTTGCCTTGTAAATTCTTTAAATCCATTTTGTCCTCTTTTCCCTGTAGTTAAAATAAAATGTTTCATCATCATCATCATATTTCAAGTTTCCATTAGAAAAATATGAGATACAAAGTTATCCCAAGTTATTAGGTGTTATAGACTAAACTGTGTCCCCTCTCCACAACCCAAGTTCATATGTTGAAGCCCTAACCTCCAATGTGACTGTATTTGGAGATAGAACTTTTAAGGAGGTAATTAAGATCATAAAGGTGGGGCCCTAATCCAACATGATTGATGTTCTTAAAAGAACAAGAGACACGAGAGATCTTGTTCTCTGACATGCACAGAGAAAAAGCCATGTAAGGATATATCAAGAAGGCACTGTCTGCAAGCCAAGAAAAAGCCTCTTCAGACACTAACCCTGTTTGATCTTGGACTTCCAGACTCCAGAACTGTGAGAAAACAAATTTCTGAAATTTCTGTTGTTTAAGGCACCCCAGTGTGTGGTATTTCGTTATGGCAGCCCAAGCAGACTAATACTCTATGTTATTAAGAAATCAATATACTTAAATCTAAAGGGGCACAAAAAATCTGTAATTTCCATACTGGAGAGTGCAGTAGAGTATGTTAGTTATCCTCCAGTAGTCATCCCAGTCCTTCCTCTAAGGGAGGAATAACAGCAAACTACTTCTGGAGAAGACCAGCTTATAAATATTTGTCTTTGTGGATCTTTTGGTCTTCACAGCTATTCAATTCCACTGTTGTGGCCCCAAAGCAATCACAGGCAACATGTAGACAATCAGCATGGCTGTGGTTCAATATAACTATTTATGGACAGTGAAATCTGAATTTCATATAATTTTCACTTATCACAAAGTATCATTCTTCTTTTTTCCAGTCATTTAAATTGTAAAAATCCAGCCGGCGCAGTGGCTCACGCCTGTAAATCCCAGAACTTTGGGAGGCCAAGGTGGGCAGATCACCTGACGTCAGGAGTTGTTGACCAGCCTGGCCAACATGGTGAAATCTCATCTCTACTAAAAATACAGAAATTAGCTGGGCGTGGTAGCAAGCACTTGTAATCCCAGCTACTCAGGAGGCGGAGGCATGAGAATCGCTTGAACCCAGGAGGTGGAGGTTGCAGTGAGCCAAGATCATGCCACTATACTCCAGCCTGGGGGATAGAGTGAGACTCTGTCTCCAAAAAAGGGGGAAAAGCCTTTTTAGCTTATGAGTTATACAAAAACAGGGCAGGGCAGGGCCGGGTCGGGCACAGTGGCTCACATCTGTAATCCCAACACTTTGGGAGGCCGAGGTGGCTGGATCACTTGAGGGCAGGAGTTTGAAACCAGCCTGGCCAACATGACAAAACACATCACTACTAAAAATACAAAAATCAACCAGGTGTGGTGACATGCACCTATAATCCCAGCTACTCGGGAGGCTGAGGCAGAAGAATCGCTTGAACCCAGAAGGTGGAGGTTGCAGTGAGCCGAGATGGCACCACTGCACCCCAGCCTGGGTGACAGAGCGAGACTCCACCTCAAAAAACAACAACAACAAAAATGAGGCCGGCCAGATTTGGCATACAAACTGTTATTTACTAACCACTGGTTGAAGGTAACAGAACCACTAGTTTTCAGCTGGGCACTTAGCAACCCAAAAGAAGGACATTTCCCAGAGTAGGCACAACCAAACAAAAAACTTTTGTTCAAAGAGATGGGATCAGAAGCATTGTGTGTACCCTCTGGACTGTGCTTCCCTTTCCTCCTTCCCACTTCCAACTAGCTAGAATGCAGACATGGTGATAAATCATTTTGGAACATGAGAATGGCAGCAAAACCCTAAGGATGGCAGTACCAACAAGACAGAAAGAGCTTGGACCCCTGATAATCTGCCTTGACTATGAAAATATGTTGGAATTAAATTTCTCTGTTGTTTCAGTTGCCGTCAAATTGCTTTGATAGTTGGGAAGTATTTTTTCATTCTATTTCTTTTGCTTGAAAGAGTTTGTGTAAGACTGGAATTATCTGCTTTTTTAAAAATTTGGCAGAATTCACCTATAAAGTTGTCTAGGACTGATGTTTTCTCTGCAGAAAGATTTTAGTACTGATTCAAGTTCTTTAATCGTTTAAGACCATCTACATTAACAAATTTCTTCATAAATCCATTTTGATAATTTGTATTTTTCTAGGATTTTATTTTTGCATATATTTTCAAATGCATCAAAAAATTGTGTATTATCTCCTCATCTTTAAGTTTCTACTCTATCCATAGTTAATGTTGCTCCCTTTCAGTCCTAACTTTATGATCGCCATCTATATAAAAATCAGTTTCAACAAAGGTTTGTCTCGTTTGTCTTTCTCAGAAGAACACGCTTTTAGATTTGTTACTGTTCTTTACTACATTTTTATTTTTTTAAGAAAGGGTCTTCCTCTGTTGCCCAGGTTGGAGTGCAGTGGCACAATCAGGGCTCACTGCAGCCTTGATCTCCCAGGCTCAAGCGACCCTCCCACCTTAGCCTACTGAGTAGCTGGGACTACAGGTGCATGCCACCATGCCCAGCTTGCTTTTTGGGTACTTTTTGTAGTGATGGGGTTTCACCATGTTGCCAAGGCCGATTTTGAACTCCTGGGCTTAAGCAATCCACCTATCTTGGCCTCCCAGAGTGCTGGGATTACAGGTGTGAGCCACTGCACCTGGCCCTACTATATTTTTATTTTCTATTAATTTCTACTCTGATGTATTATTTCCTTCAGACTTAGGGGGATTATTCTTTTTCTCCCACCATCTTCTTAAATAAATGTCTAGCTGAGTTTGTGTTTCTTCTTTTCTAATATGTATTAAAGGTATACATTTTCCCCTAAGTAGAGGGACTGTATTCAACAAGTGTTAATATTCAGTAATCTTTAGTTTGATTCATTTTAAATATTTTTTAGTTTCCATTATAGTTTATCTTTTGACCCAATATTTAGAAGTCTGTTTTAAAACTCTAATCATATTAGGTTTGCTTTAGATTTTGAAATCAATTGCATTGTAATCAGACAATACAGCTTCCATGATAAAGGAAATTTTCCATCTACTTAGAGTAACCATTTAGAAAAAAATACAGAAAAAAGATCCCATCCAAATTACAGGCACAGAATTAACTTAAGGATTTCTTTTGATAGTCATTAAATAAGGTTGGTTAAGGATCCTCAAAAGAAATTTGTATTAACAGCTTTTAAAAGATGTATTCGCTTTGATCTAGCAATTTATGAAATAATTTTAAGGTAGGAGAGAGTTCCACTTTCATCAATATGATACAAATTATGAGCATTATTGATCTTTATATCTCTAGTATATAGGAGGCATCCAATGCATGCTGAATGAGTACATTATAGAATGCAAATTTCTATTTGGCCCAAATAAAGTAGTAAATAAATTCAATGCAACTTGCTGACTAACCAAAAGTTAAAGTTATCAGAAACTGTCCTATTAAAGACATAGGAATATTATCTCTTTTTTCTTAAGTATAGATGATGTGTAAATAATGACCCAATCATAAATGTACTAATAGGACTTCATAACACATTTTACAACTCATCACAGCTAAGAGGTGGGCATTTAAAAAAAAAAAACACAGCCTGGAATCACGAACGAAAGCAATCAATATATTTCAGAGGAGCTGAATTAATAAAGTGCTTTATCAGTTAAAAACAAACAAACAAGAATGCTCTTAAGGAATTTCAGTATTACCCCTTCTGCCTCTTTTATGTGATCCTGGGTCATCTTCATCTTCTGTGACCATATCTTGATCTAATTCCTTTTGCTCTGTGTCTTTGCTCTCAGTGCTAGTATCAAAATCTTCCCTTTCTTCCTCCCTTAAGGGTAAAAACAAGGATGACATTTACTAATGAATATATAATTCCATTTATGAAATATTTATTGCTTGCTTACGAAGTCCCGGGCATAGGCTTAGGAGGTAGTGAACAACATGACACAGTTTATGGTCTTGCAGAGAAAACAGATAATTACACAAATCATTTAAAAAATATGTAATAAGTACTAAAACAAGAGCAGTTCAAGGTATTATGAAAACATTTCAAGGAGAATGAAACTGACTCTTAGGGATCAAAAAGGCTGGCTTGAAGAAGTGACATTTTACAATTTGAGACCAGGGAGATGGGGAGGAGTGTGTGCTACAGAGGAATAACATACACAATGGAACAGAACTCAAGAGAAACAGGAGGAGCTTATAATTTTGAGAAAAGTGTAACGGAGAAAGCAGTAATCCAAGAGGCAGATGAGAGAAAAAGGCAGGGTGAGATTAGGCTAGGCCTTGTAAGGCCTTATCCAAAAAACAATAGGAAAAAAACCAGAAGAATTTAGAAAGGGAAATGGTATTAGAAAGTACTGTAGCCACTGTGTGAAAAATTACCTGGGAAAGAAAGTAGATGAGGGGCCAGTAATAATAGTAACAGATCAGTAGTGGTCTAGGTGGCTGGCTAGGCGGTGATGGTGGCTTAGAGTAGGAAGGAGAGAAGATGACAAATAGTGGAAGAGAGAAATTCAGAAATAGTAAACAGGCAGAATGAACACAACACAGCTGTTTAATTCATTACGTTATCCAAATTAAAACTAAAATTATATGAACCTTGAAATAAATTACACCATTATGTTCTAAATCTAAAGTTGGGTTTTGCAAGCTCTAATGTAAGGAGAGCCAGGGATAATGTAAATGAGTGGGGCTGAATGAATATTTAAAAAATATGAAGATGTGAAAGCCATACAATGTTACTTTTCTTATATACTGAGCTTATATACCATAACAATCACCATTTTAAAGTGTATAATTTAGTGGTCTTTAGTGTATTCACAAGGTTACACAATCATTACCACTGTCAATTCCAGAATACTTTCATCATACCAAAAGGAAACGCCATATCCATTAGTAGTCATTTCCCATTTCCTCTTTCTTGCTGCCCCTGGCAACCATACATCTACTCTCTACTGATTTGCTTATTCTGGACATTTCGTGTAAATGGAGTCATATAACATATGGTCTTTTGTCACTAGCTGCTTTGAGATAGAATCTCACTCTGCTGCCCAGGCTGGAGCACAATCTCGGCTCACTGCAACCTCCGCCTCCAGGGCTCAAGCAATTCTCCTGCCTGTACAGGTGTGTGCCACCATGCCTGGCTAATTTTTTGTATTTTTAGTAGAGACAGGGTTTCACCATGTTGGCCAGGTTGGTCTCAAACTCCTGACATCAGGTGATCCGCCCGCCTCAGCCTTCCAAAGTGCTGGGATTACAGGCGTGAGCCAGTGCGCCCGGCTGTAACTAGATTCTTTAGCATACATTTTCAAAGTTCATCCACATTATAGCCTGCATTAGAACTCCATTCCTTTTTATTGTTGAATAATATTCTCCTGTATGGACACACGAAGAGATATACCATTTGTTTATGCATTCATCAACTGGTGGACATTTGGGTTGTTATCACTCTGGCTATTAAGAATAATGCTGCTATGAACACTTATGTATACATTTTTGGGTGAAGGTATGCTTTTAATTCTCTCAGGAATATATCTAGGAGTGCAATTGCTGGGTCATACAGTAACAAATGGTTTAATTGTTTGAAGAACTGTCAAACTGTTTTCCAAAGTAACTGGATCATTTACATTCCCACAAGCAATGTATGAGAGTCTTGATTTCTCAACTCCTCATCAAAACTTGTTATTGTTTGTCAATTTGATTATAGCCAGCCTACTGGGTGTGAAGTATTATCTTACTGTGGTTTTGATGTACATTTCCCTGATGATTAATGATGTTGAGCATCTTCTCACGTACTTATTGCATATCTTCTTTGGAGAAATGTCTATTCAAATCCATTGCTCACTTTTTAAATGGGTTGTTTTAAAAAATTGTTTTTCTTTTTATTATTTCTTCTTTATTTTTTGACATTTAAAAAATTAACTCCCTATTCTGAATCTTTCAATTTTTTATTGATGAGTTGTAAGAATTCTTTTATATTCTGGATACAAATCCCTTATCAGATATACGATTTGCAAATATTTTCTTCTATTGCGAGTTTGTGACCTAAGATCTTAAGGCTTATTAATGGGTATTTTTACACACAAGTATTAAAAAGTCAAAGTCAATATACTAATTTTGGAATACTGAGTTTCTTCAGAACTTTCCTTTGTAGATTTCATTAAAAAAGAAAAAAGATGATTTCTGTCAAATTCCTACTTGTTTTCATAGACAGTCCTATCTCAAATATTCTAAAATGCAATAAAATACTTTGGTATCTCTAAATTATTTAAGGTGCAGTCATCCTCTCCCTATATCATCTACCAAAAAACATCCAATCTCAACCCTGTTCTTCTATATGGTGCAGAATAACTATGAAATACAGTATACACCTGTGATACTGGTGGAAGGGAGAGAGAAATATATTATTGGTTAAAAATAGCCTATTGAGTGTTTTTCTGGGAAGTTATCATGTACCTATAATAAAAGACAACTTTTCTAAAAATCTGAGAGCATTTTTAGAGTTTAACGTGTCTGGTTTTTATTCTTTATGTATGGTAAAGCAGATGAAGTGTGATTCACACCATACCCAATAGATGTATCTGCCGTTGAATTTCTTTGCTCATCTTCTTTCAGTTTTTCTTGTTTCTCTTTCAGTTTTTGTTCTTGCTCCTTAAGTTTTTCTTCCTTCCTTTTACGAATTCTAAAAGTTAAAATGAAATATGGTAGGCTATCTGTTGCACATATACTTTTCACTTTTAGCATCTTGTCTTTAATCAAATCATGGAAAGTACTCCAAACATTATTATAAAACTATAATGTAGTAATCATTCATAAGCTTTTTTTTTTCTTTTTTTGAGATGGAGTCTCGCTCTGTCGCCCAGGCTGGAGTGCAGTGGCCAGATCTCAGCTCACTGCAAACTCCGCCTCCCGGGTTTACGCCATTCTCCTGCCTCAGCCTCCCGAGTAGCTGGGACTACAGGCGCCCGCCACCTCACCCGGCTAGTTTTTTGTTTTTTTTTAGTAGAGACGGGGGTTTCACTGTGTTAGCCAGGATGGTCTCGATCTCCTGACCTCGTGATCCGCCCATCTCGGCCTCCCAAAGTGCTGGGATTACAGGCTTGAGCCACCGCGCCCGGCCTTCTCTTTTTTTCCTTTGAGACAGAGTTTCACTCTGCTGCCCAGGCTGATCCTGCTTCCCAGGATCAAGTGATTCTCGTGCCTCAACCTCCCGAGTAGCTGGAATTACAGGCATGCGCCACCACACCTGGTTAATTTTTGTATTTTTAGTAGAGACGGGGTTTGGCCATGTTGGCCAGGCTAGTCTCGAACTCCTGACCTCCCAAATCCGCCCTCCCAAAGTGCTGGGATTGCAAGCATGAGCCACCACGCCTGGCCTCATTCACAAGCTCTTAGTAAAGCCATCAAACATCAGTATAATCAATTCCACATTATAGCACCATGTGAAATATGGTTTTAAATGCAAAGAAACAAACAGCTTTCATTAACACAACTATTACAATTATTTCTTACCTGGCAGCTGCTTCTTCCCTCTCTTTTCGATGTTGTTCTGCTTTTAATTCCCGGAACTCCTGCTTTGCCTGTCGTAATATATCAACATAATCTTCAATAAAATCCCTAGTTGAAACTAGGGTCAGTAGCTTTCCACAGAGAGCATGGAGTATCTTCATTTTTTCTCCTGTCAAAAATTGGTAAATACTTATGTATTATCAGTCACAACAAATGAATTGTGTTTGAACTTTTTAAATTTGTGGCTCAATATGAAAATGCCTAATAAAGAATAGGGAGTAGTCTCTCAAACATGTCAATGACATGTCTTCAGAAAAAAGCAACTATGGGCCAGGCGCAGTGGCTTACACCTGTAATCCCAGCACTTTGGGAGGCTGAGGCAGGCAGATCACCTGAGGTCAGGAGTTCGAGACCAGCCTGGCCAACATGGTGAAACCCCATCTCTACTAAAAATACAAAAATAGCTGCATGCGGTGGCATGTGCCTGTAGTTCCAGCTGCTTGGGAGGCTGAGGCTGGAGAATCGCTTGAACCTGGGAGGCGGAGGTTGCGGTGAGCCAAGATCGCGCCACTGCACTCCAGCCTGGGTGACTGAGACTCTGTCTCAAAAAACAAACAAATAAACAAAAAAGGCAACTTTGAATCCAGTTTAACAGCTATTGATATATGAGGCATTTCAAATGTCTATCTTGTATACTAGTAGTTAAATAAACATGAGAAATTTTGTAATTACAAAGAATTGTTTTTCAAGTTTTATTTTACTTATTTGAGACGGAGCCTTGCTCTGTCACCCAGGCTGGAGTACGGTGGCACCATTGGGGCTCACAGCAACCTCTGCCTCCTGGGTTCAAGCGATTCTCCTGCCTCTGCCTCCGAGTAGCTGGGACTACAGGCACACAGCACCACGCCTAGCTAATTTTTGTGTTTTTAGTAAAGATGGTGTTTCACCATGTTGGCCGGGCTGGTCTTGAACTCCTGACCTCAGGTGATCTGCCCACCTTGGCCTCCAAAGGTGCTGGGATTACAGGAATGAGCCACTGTGCCCGGACCTCAAGTTTTAATTTTTTGGCTGAGTAACTGAACGTCAATCAATACTAAACTGTAATCATATGAATTAAAAAAAAAGACCATGGTAAATTACTATTTCTAAAAGACTGCACAAAAAAACCACCATAAATTATAAAGACTGCAAATGTTAGGAAGTAAGGTATTCTACTTTATTGTATGTTCTCTAAAGTACACTAAATTAAACTCTTTACTTGTACATGCAATTCTTTAAAAAAAGGAAGTGAAAAATAGCTTCATCTTAACCTTATATACTGTTTCTCATACCTCAAACACTTATTCAAGTGAATGGCAGGATTTAGCAGCCATTTAAACTTCTGATACACTAATGAATACAAGAGAAAGCTAATTTTCTAGCTAATTCTCACCCTTTTAAACTCAGTAGATGTAGCAGACTAATCATACATTTAAAAATATTAGAAAATCCAAATAAAAAAGACAATCATAAATAAAGTTAGTATGAATAACAACAATAGTCTGCTTTATCTTTTTCTCTTTTAATACTGATTTATCATAAAATTTCTCATCAGCTCTTTAGTTTTCTGAGAATAAGAGGGTAGGAAGTGGGCAGGTACAAATTCCAACTTGCAAAGCTTACCTGGTGTCAAATCATACACTGAGGTGCTTGACAGTTTCTTCACTAGACTGGGATTGCTCAAACGAAGCTCCATACAAGCATCATCTGTAGCATCAAATCCTCCTCGTTTTTGATATCTATACTTTGCATTTGCCGATGTTACATCAGCACCTGAAGCTAAGATGTGCAGTCTGAGGATTTCTGAAAGAGTGCAGCTATCAAGATCCAAACTTTTCAAACTGCAGCCTATAGTTGTTAAAAATGAAATAGTCATTTAGAATATAAACAATAAATACTCAGCAATGTAAATGTACCTTTATAAAATTAAAAATAAAAAGCCAAACAAACAAAAAAACAAAACCCACACATACCCTGGTGTAACTGTGGCCATGCAGCTGCCAAAGATGCAACTGCAGACAGTGCAGATTTTGTGGGGTCTGCATCTTCATCCAAAGCCTCTGTTAAATCTTTAAGGAGATAAATACTTTATTCTAGTGCAAATCAAAGCTTGAATATTTGGGAATAATGCCCGTTTTAAATGATGAAAAAAACAGCAAACACCTTAACATTCAGAACCTCAAAAGAACAAACACTAGGTACAAGCATTATTTCACATTCTGCTTCATCACCACCTACAGCTATAAATCCTAAACCATGCACTACACAGACATTTTCATAACTTAAAAGAAAAGACAATTTCCAAATTACCAATGAGACGCACATAAACATTCCCCCCAAAAGATAAAATGCACTTTAGAATTAAAAACAAATCTCCTCACTCAATATAACCTTAGAAAAGTCTACCTTGAAAATTGGAATCCATTTAAAGATACCCTAATCTTTTATGTTTTTTTTTTTTTTTTTGAGACGTAGTCTTCCTCTGTCACCCAGGCTGGAGTTCAGTGGCACGATCCCGACTCACTGCAACCTCCACCTCCCGGGTTCAAGCAATTCTCCTTTCTCAGTCTCCCGAGCAGCTGGGACTACAGGCACCTGCCACCACGCCCGGCTAATTTTTATATTTTTAGTAGAGACGAGGTTTCACCTTGTTGGTTAGGCTGGTCTTGAACTCCTGACCTCAGGTGATTTACCCACCTTGGCCTCCCAAAGTGCTGGGATTACAAGCGTGAGCCACGGTGCCCAGCCCTTTTATGAATATTTTAAGATTAAGTCATAACAAAGTATAGGTTATAGTCATCACAAAATCATCACAGAAAATGAGCTAAAAGAAGTAAAAGATGGCACTACTGTAATTTAACTATTGAAATATCTTCATTAAAATTTCACATTTTTATTTTGAAAAATTTTACAGACCAAGTGCGGTGGCTGATGCCTGTAATCTCAGCACTTTGGGAGGCTGAGGTGGGCGGATCACAAGGTCAAGAGATCCAGACCATCCTGGCCAACATGGTGAAACCCCGTCTCTACCAAAAATACAAAAATTAGCTGGGCATGGTGGTGCATGCCTGTACTCCCAGCTACTCGGGAGGCTGAGGCAGGAGAGTCATTTGAACCTGGGAGGCAGAAGGTCCAGTGAGCCAAGATCATGCCACTGCACTGCAGTCTGGTGACAGAGCGAGACTCTCTCAAAAAAAAAAAAGAAAGAAAGAAAAGAAAAATTTCCAATCCAAAAACCAACAGGGGCCGGGTGCAGTGGCTCATGCCTGTAATCCCAGCACTTTGGGAAGCCGAGGCAGGCGGATCACCTGAGGTCAGGAGTTTGAGACCAACATGGCCAACATGGTGAAACCCCGTCTCTTCTAAAATACAAAAATTAGCTGGGCGTGGTGGCACATGTCTGTAACCCCAGCTACTTGGGAGGCTGAGGCATGAGAATTGCTTGGACCTGGGAGGCATAGGTTGCAGTGAGCCGAGATGGTGCCACTGCACTCCAGCCTGGGTGACAGAGTTAGACTCCGTCTCAAAAACAAAACAGAACAAAACAAAACAACAGGAAGATTTCCCTGAATTTTCTAAATAAATTGCTTTAACTTTAAAATGGTGCTTAGCTTACAAATAGAACTAAACAACAAATCTACTGGTATAAATGTATGTAAAGCATTGGTATATCCAGTTATTCCTAATTATAATACATAGATTGATCAGTGTCAAGCTATGAAAAACCCTTCTGTTATATCATAGTACAATGTACACAGATTCAGACTAAGAGTCAGATAATGTATATTCTAGTATCAGCTATACTAGTGCCTCATAATGTGCCCTTGAGACAAGTCACTTAATCTGGGGTTCATTTTTATTTTTTTTGAAGATGGAGTCTCACTCTGTCACCAGGCTGGAGTGCAGTGGCGTGATCTTGGCTCACCGCAACCTCTGCCTCCCAGGTTTAAGCAATTCTCTGGTAATTTTTGTATTTTTAGTAAAGACAGGGTTTCACCATCTTGGCCAGGCTGGTCTTGAACTCCTGACCTTGTAATCCACCGTGCTCAGCCTCATTTTTCTTTTTCTTTTTGAGACAGGGTTTGAATCTGTCGCCCAGGCTGGAGTGCAGTGCTGCGATCTCACCTCACTACAACCTCTGCCTTCTGGGCTCAAGCCATCCTCCCACCTCGGCCTCCCCAGTAGCTGGGACTACAGGTGCATGCCACCATGCCCACCTAGTTTTTATATTTTTTGCAGAGGCGGGGTTTTGTCACATTGCCCAGGCTGGTCTCACATTACTGAGCTCAACTAATCCGCCTGCCCTGGCTTCCCAAAGTGCTGGGATTACAGGTATGGGCCACCATGCCTGGCCCATCTTTCTTAAAGGAATGAGTCTGGATCAGCCATTTTCAAATTCTTCCAAAAAAAAAAAATTTTTTTTTTTTCTTGAAAACTCAATATAAAAGATGCTCTTGTTAAAGTGAGATATGGAGATGAGAATTCTGCCTTTTCATCTTTCCAACTCTCCTGCAGTGGCACTGACGAATTGCCTTGGATTAGAGTTTGAAAATCACTAGGCTAATCTTCCGTGGTTCTTTAGCCTTCTACTATATGACTCTCCTACCAAAGTCCAAAGCCTGACAAAATTAACCTTAGAAAACAGTCCCTTACTAAAGGAAAAAGGCAGCTCTGGGATCGTATCTAATTACAATCATTGACAATTTCATGGCATTTCAAGCATACATAGGGCCACACAGGAGAAGCTATCTATAAAATTTGCATATATGCCGAAAGTCATTCCTACCAGACCTAATCTAGCCCAAACGACAGAAATCATATTCTTCTGTAGCAGAAAAATACTATATCTAAAATTTCCTCAATGTTCATTTTACATATAAAGCCAAACAAATTTAATTAATGAGCACTCCAAAATTAACAACAGTCCTAGATACAAACTGTAAAAGTGTGTTGGCTCTCATCCTGCAGCAATCACCACATTCAACCTATACCATCTATAGAAAGTTATAATTTCCTAAGACAAAGGCTATAAAAAGGCCTTTAGGAAATGAAAAACCAATGAAATGCATTTTTAATTGTGTTAAATAAAGTAATATGCTAAAATATATTCTTTAACTCTTTATCTATCATATGGCATTCTTAAGAAACTGTAAATATCATTCTAGGATTTGCTTAGTGATAGTCACTTGGGTACATCACACCACGAGAATATAGCCAAATTATATCCAGTATTTTATGACTAACTGCAACAGATATATTTATTGTCATCATAATCTAGAATTAGGTGCATACAATTCTAACACTAGACAATGATCCAACAAATACACAAAACTATTCTATATAAAGAGGATGCTCTTGTTCCCATACTTTGAAGGGCTTTTTAGTTCATAAGACTAAAGAGAGGAACTGATGTATTAAATATAAGATTTTTTAAATTGGTAGTCAAAATCTCTCAGGTTTGATATAAAAACAGGGAGACCAAGGGCCAAAGAAATTAGATCTTCTCAAAGACAGATAATTTTACAGGCAATGCCAGAGGAAACACATATTCAAAATTTCAACTTCTTTACCATATTATGAAGCAACATAGCACAGTTGTAATGAGTCTCTAGATCAGACTGCTTGAGCTTGTATCCCATCAATTCCTTATTAGCCATGTTTCTTCAAACTAAGCCTCAGTTTCTTTATATGTAAAATGCAGAAAATAGTATCTACCTCAAAAGAGTAGTATGAGAATTAAATGAAACAATGTGTAGTCTCTTACATCACTTATTTTACATCACGTAAAATGTGGTCAATCATAAATAATAGGGAAGTGAGAAAACAGTGAAAAATGCCAGACTTATTTTTTTTCCCTCCCTAACATTTAAATATATATACATATATATATATATGTGTGTGTGTGTGTGTGTATATATATATATATTTTTTTTTTTCCTTTGAAACAGGGTCTCACTCTGTCCCAGGATGGCGTGCAGTGGCACGATCACAGGTCACTGCAGCCTCAAACTCCCAGGATCAAACAATCCTCCCACCTCAGCCTCCCAAGTAGCTGGGGCTATAGGCATGCACCACTACACCTGGCTAATTTTAATTAAATTTATTTATTTAAAACAGAGTCTCTCTCTATTGCCTAGGCTGGTGTCGCGATCTCGGATCACTGCAACCTCTGCCTCCTGGGTTCAAGGGATTATTGTGCCTCAGACTGTATGGGATTACAGGCATGCGCCACCATGCCTGGCTAATTTTGCATTTTTAGTAGAGATGGGGTTTCACCATCCATGTTGGTCAGGCTGGTCTTGAACTTCTGACTTTAAGTGATCCGCCCACCTCAGCCTCCCAAAATGCTGGGATTACGGGCATGAGCCACTGCGCCTAGCCTTGTTTTATTTTTTGTAGAGACAAGGGTCTCACTATGTCACCCAGGCTAAATATTTTCAAAGACAGCATTAAAACTTTTATTTAGTGGCCAATATTATTTAGAGAGATACACCTTATATTTATACACAGTCCTATATAGGCAATAGTTATTTTAAAAACTCACAGATCAATCATGAAAGTGTAATGGCAGCTGGGCACAGTGGCTCAAGCCTGTAATCACAGCACTTTGGGAGGCCGAGGCAGGTGGATCACCTGAGGTCGGGAGTTCAAGACCAGCCTGACCAACATGGAGAAATCCTGTCTCTACTAAAAATACAATATTAGCCGGGTGTGGTGGTGCATACCTGTAATCCCAGCTACTCAGGAGGCTGAGACGGGAGAATCGCTTGAACCCGGGAGGCGGAGGTTACAGTGAGCCAAGATTGCGCCATTGCACTCCAGCCTGGGCATCAAGAGCAAAACTCCGTCTCAAAAAAGAAAAGAGAAGAGAAGAGTGTGTAATGGCAATTCAAACACCAACCATTGCTTATATATATTTTTCCTTTATAATACTAATTTTCCCATACCATTTCCTTTTTACCACACTTTTATTTTCCACCATGACTTCCAAAACTACACAATTCAAATCTGGAATTAAATACAGCTTTATGTCTTGTATTGTTAGAATTTGATCAATAACTCTATAATGTTGGCTATTAATAAATATAATAGCTAAAAGAATATCATTTAATTGACTAAATTATCTGAGATGACAATAGGGGTCATATTGCTTAAAATGGTCTTAATAAGGGACCTATGGTGGTTAGCACTCAAGTTAGATATAAATATATTTTTGCTTGAACTCAGGCTGTAAAATCAAAAGGCAACAAACATCAGTGCATACTCATCAATATCCTGTTGCTTCAGAGACCAGGCATAAAGGAAGATGACCTTGAATTATCTAAGGTCAACAAAACTATCTGACTGGAGGAATGTCCCATCTTTCTGTACCAATATTCTGATATCAAGATGTCTCCTAACAGTTCTTTCTTACTGTGAATTTTTATGTAACACACTCAAGTATTGTTTAATCAAGTTTCTGGTCCTAAATCTCATATATGGTAAAGTTCAGGGTATTATTCAGGAGGCCAAATCAATCTCTTATTAGAAATGCTTAACATTTCCTCTGACTGAGGTGAATCCTAAACAAAATAGTGAACATACTGTTTTAAAAATATGTAAGGGTTTGCCCCAAGAATTATTCCTGCATTAACATGTAGCATACAACTGACTCTAGATATTTAAGCGTACAGAACTTAAAGGGCAAATTACCTAGTTCAAACTATTAAGTAAAATTTTACTTAACTCTGATGTAAAAACTGTCAGATCTAAAATGAAATCAGCAGTAGTATTTTCATTTTAAAATATTAATTACAATTAAAGTATTTCCTGGCCAGGCGCAGTGGCTCACGCCTGTAATCCCAGCACTTTGGGAGGCCAAAGCGGGTGGATCACCCGAGGTCAGAAGTTCGAGACCAGCCTGGCCAACACAGTGAAACCCCGTCTCTATTAAAAACAATACAAAAATTAGCTGGGTGCGGTGGTGGGTGTCTGTAATCCCAGCTACTTGGGAGGCTGAGGCAGGAGAATCGCTTGAACCTGGGAGGCGGAGGTTGTGGTGAGCCAAGATCATGCCAATGCACTCCAGCCTGGCAACAGACTGAAACTCCATCTCAAAAAAAAAAAAAAAAGTTTTTCCTTAGTTAGGGGCAAAAAAAACCCCCAAAAACAAAGAAACAGTGCTACAGTGCTAGTTAGCAGAATCTCTTGGAATTACAGATACTGGTCAATGAAATCTATAATGCTCCTAAATCATAGGGAAAGTCTAAAGGAATAAAAGCAAGATAGATCGAGGGAAAATATCTTTAAGGTTGTCAGACACAGGTTATATCAAAACAAAATTTTTATAACATAATCCATATGTTGTTAGCATATGATTCAATATCAGGTAACCTGAACAACTATATTTTATAAGCATAAAAGCCAATTTAATTTAAAATTAGCCTTCAAAAATTAGTTTCACTACAAAACTACTATGGTTCAATCAGCAATAATGTTGAACTCTGACCTTTGGTGTCAGCATCAGTTAATTGCTCTTTGGCTACTTCCTCTTCTTCTTCAGCTATTGCCTGGAAGATTGCAGTCAGGAAGAAAAAAAGCAATTCACACAGTGGGCCTTCACTGTCATTTCCTACAAGAGCTTCCTCTAATACTTCTGTGAATAAAATGTTTAAAATGAATTTAAAGTTCTGTTCATGTACTGAAAAAACAACTCCACTGGAATAAACATGTAATCAACAATAGTATGTGCACCTATTTTCTTAAGCATCAATTTATGAAAGTATAACCAAGTATTATCCAAGCCAAAATAAGAAACAATTTATAATTACAATAAAATACAATAAAATCATAAGCCAAAGTCACCTCATTCAAGTAGGTCAAAATAGCCTCAATAGATCAACATATTTCATTTAAATTTAAGGCACGAATTAAGGCACATTTTAAAAATTATAGTTTTATTCTAATGTGAACAATGCAAATATTTGTTATTGTGCCACTGTTCTTGAGGGCTATATATGTGCAAATAGTGAATAGGAGAGGTCATTATCCGCATTAGGTTTTAATCCTAATATTGTGTCTAAGTCATAAATAAGTGTTTCTTATCTAATTCATCTCACCTAAACCAGCACTGTTTAGACCTCCTTGATCTATAAGGCACAGTGATTCTTGCCTCATCCGGCTCATAAGGAGAAATAAAAGAATTTGAAAGCCCCCCTAAAGAATACACTTTTATTAAAATAAGAGTGGCATTATAGGCTGGGCACAATGGCTCACACCTATAATGAGCCGAGACTGAGGCAGGCGGATCACGATGTCAGGAGATTGAGACCATCCTGGCTAACACAGTGAAACCTCATCTCTACTAAAAATACAAAAAAATTGGGCCGGGCGCAGTGGCTCACGCCTGTAATCCCAGCGCTTTGGGAGGCCAAGGTGGGCAGATCACAAGGTCAGGAGTTCAAGACTAGCCTGGCCAAAATGGTGAAACCCTTTGGCCTCTACTAAAAATACAAAAATTAGCTGGGCATGGTGGCGGGTGCCTGTAATTCCACCTACTCGGGAGGCTGAGGCAGAGAATTGCTTGAACCTAGGAGGTGAAGGTTGCAGTGAGCCAAGATTACGCACTACACTCCAACCTGGGTGATAGAGCGAGACTCTGTCTCAAAAAATAAATAAATAAATAAATACAAAAGAAAAAGAAAAAAATTAGCCAGGCCCGGTGGCAGGCGCCTGTAGTCCCAGCTACTTGGGAGGCTGAGGCAGAAGAATCGCTTGAACCCTGGAGGTGGAGCTTGCAGTGAGCTGAGATCTCACCACTGCACTCTAGCCTAGGCGACAGAGCAAGACTCTGTCTCAAGAAAAAAAAAAAAGAGTGGCATTATAATTCTCTATTTCAAAGTCTCTACACAGATTTTAAGAAAATTATTTTTCCATGTGACAGCCAAAAATTCAAAATCTGATCCAAATCTCTCCTTATACTAAACGCATTATAAATGTTTATACAAAGTAAAAGTATATAAGTACACAGGCCAAAGAGAATTACAAATTAAAGGTAGGCAATAGCCTGTCTGCAAACACCCATATACCACTCCCTGCTCAAGAAGTGGAGTCTATTCCACCATCCTGTTGAATCCCAAGGTGGCCTCTCACTGCTCTGACCAATGGAATGTGGCAGAAGTAAGGCTGTGCCAATTCCAGGCCTAGGCTTTAAGAAGGCTAGCAGTTTCTGCTTCCTGCTTCTTAGAGTCCCCAGGTGCCACATAATAAGTATGAGATACTCTGATGAGATGAAAGGCCACATGAAGAGGACCAAGGCACCAGAACCTGTGTGAGAAGAAGCCATTTTGAATATCTAGCTAGACCAGAGAGATCCCAACTCCAGTGCCCCCACAGAACTTTACGAGATGGCTTGTGTTTTTAAAGGCACTAAGTTTAGGATGAACTATAATGTAGCAATAGATAACTAGAGCACTTGCCTAGGGTTACTCCATCAGGAAACTCATCTTGAAGATCAAAAAGTTCCCCAAATGCATTAAGGAACTCCAAAACCATCAGAGCATCACCAAAGATTTCAGGAGGTAGTCTAGTTTTCACTGGTGTTGGTTCTGGAAGTTCCTGAAAGATTAAACAATTTATATAACTATGTAAACCAAGAAAAGGAAAACTTAAAAGGTAGAGATGACATACTTTTTACCTAACTATTAAGCATTATTCTTTGTAAGCTACTGGTTCTCAACCCTGGCTGTTTATCACAATCACCTTTGAAACTTCTAAAATTATAGATGTCCTGAACTTGTTCCAACTTTACTAAATCACAGTTCCTGAGAAGGGACTGGGAGAAAGGAACATTTTCCTTCCTTTTACTAAGAACATAACTTTAGGCTGAGTGTATTTCTGACTATATTTCCTGGTAAGAGTCTCTTAACCCACATTTTGAAGTCAAATCAGCTGTGAAATACTACCTTCAATGTACTACCTCCTTATGATTTGGAACATAATTAATCTACCATCCACTGATTTAGAAATTGTTCTTTATAAGCCAAGTTGAATGAGTTTGATTTGGACACTTTGGCCATTTCTGGAAACAGGCAGAATCCTTACCTAGCAATCAAGCTAAATGCATGCCTGGCTACAGTGGTTTTTGGATTATTAAGGATTACACAAACTGACCTATTATTTCTACAGAATAAGATCCATTATCAAAGCTGATTATAAAACACTAACAATACTACCTTGGAATTCTAAGTGTGAACATTTGCTTAACTAGCTATTTTCTCTCGGTTAAATATAAAGAAAAGAGGCTGCTATTAAATAAAAGAATGATTTCATCAGCAAAGCCACATAAGGCATGTAAAACCTATGTGTGCCAAACATCACATAACATGTTTATACCTTAAGGTCATCACATTCCATATCTTCTCTAGGTTTACTCCACTGTTTTAAGTATTCCACATATTTTCGCTTTTCTTCACGTAACTTCTCTCTTTCCTAAAAATTTTTAAAAGTTAGTAACAATTCATGTAAGAAATTTACATGGCAACATTGGCATCTCCTGAGAACTTGTTAGAAATGCAAATAGTTGGACCTTACCCCACACCTACTGAAGCAGTAACTCTGAGGTTAGGACTTGGCAATTGGTGTTCTAGCAAGCCCTCCTGGTGGTTTTTAATACATGCTAAAGTTTTAGAACCACTGATCAAAATAATACCTATCAAAATAATGCTATAAAGACTGAAAATGGGCCGAGTGCAGTGGCTCACACATGTAATTCCAGCACTTTGGGAGTCAGAGTCAGGTGGATCACTTGAGGTCAGAAGTTCGAGACCAGCCTGGCCAAAATGGCGAAACTCCATCTCTACTAAAAATACAAATATATATATATATATTTTTATATGATACAAATATATTTATATAAAAATATATTTTAAAAAATACAAATACATTTATTTTTTTTAATTTTTAAAAAATAAGTCTATAATATAGAATTATTTTATATATGTATATAAAAATAAGCTGGGCATGGTAGCACGTGCCTGTCATTCCAGCTACTTGGGAGGCTGAGGCAGAAGAAGCACTTGTACCCGGGAGGAGAGGGTTGCAGTGAGCTGAGATCACACCACTGCACTCCAGCCTGGGCAGCTCTTGAATAAATATTAATTTAATCTGACTTGATCTATAGCTTTCCCTCTACTTCCTATCAATAAGATCCTAGCAAAATAAATTATTAGACTGCCTAAAATGAAACTTCCCCTTATATTTGTAATACATTTGTTATTTTCAAGATTCATTTGAATCTGATAACAGCCTAGAGACACAAAGAGGGAACAATAATTAAAAGCAACAATATTAGAATAGATGGACTTCTTTCTTGTAATTTAGGCTATTTCTCTTACTCACTTGGTCTTTTGAAACTCTTACTTTTTGATTCTGGTGTTTGAAATTGCAAGATAAATATTAACTGCTAAATGTCTCTAATAAAGCAGTGTAAATAAAATATTTTACTATTTTTTCCAGTAAGTATATTTAATATGTTATTATATTATTCTCTTCTTTGAAATTTAGGAACAACAGAGGTAAACAGATGTACACATCAAATTTTCAACGTAAAATGGCCTAGATAGTTACGGAACTTGCTGTAACTTGAATAGTCTGCTTAAATAAATTATCCACCCCCAATTTCAGAAATAATTCTTATAGGATCAAATAAGGTTAGCATTCTAATTCATTGTTGTGAACAGTGTAAATAAGCACATGCTTGGGAAATATTTAGTGATGTATATATATAGAAAGTTTTGAAAATATTCTTACCCTTTGATTTATTCTACTTCTACAAATTTATCCTGGGACATAGTCCAAAAAAAAGAAGACTTTATTCAGAAATTTGAACACAGCAGTATTATTTAAAGCACTTGGACTATTTAATGAGTTATGCAGTCATTAAAAATTCCACTTAAGATTATTTAATAACATGAAAGAATGTTTATGATCATGTTAGATTAAAAAAAGCATATAAAACTTTAAATGGTGAGTGATCTGTTTTTTTAAGGCACAGGATAAAGACTAGAAATAAACAAATCAAAGTGCTAATTCTATCTCTGGCCAGGTGCGGTGGCTCATGCCTGTAATCCTAGCACTTTGGGAGGTTGAGGTGGGCAGATCACTTGAGGTCAGGAGTTTCAGACCAGCCCGGCCAACATGGTGAAACCCCATCCCTAGTAAAAATACAAAAATTAGCCAGGCATGGTGGTGGGCACTTCTAATCCCAGCCACTCGGGAAGCTGAGGCAGGAGAACTGCTTGAATCTGGGAGGCAGAGGTTGCAGTGAGCCCAGATCAAACCACTGAACTTCAGCCTGAGCAAGAGAGTGACACTCAGTCTCAAAAAAAAAAAAAGTGTTAATTCTATCTCTAAATGTTACCATTAGATTTCTGGTGATTTTTCTGTTCTCTATGTTTTCTGGCGTAAACTTATATTAGACCTTCTACACCAACTCAATGGTCTATTTGACAAACATTTGGTTTCCATTCCAAGATGGCCGAATAGGAACAGCTCCGGTCTGCAGCTCCCAGTGTGATCGACGCAGAAGATGGTGATTTCTGCATTTCCAACTGAGTTACCTGGTTCATCTCATTGGGACTGGTTGGACAGTGGGTGCAGCCCATGGAGGGCAAGCTGAAGCAGGGTGGGGCATCGCCTCACCCGGGAAGCCCAAGGGGTTAGGGGATTTCCCTTTCCTAGCCAAGGCACGCCGTGACAGACTGCATCTGGAAAACTGGGACACTCCTGCCCAAATACTGCGCTTTTCCAACGGTCTTAGCAAACAGCACACCAGGAGATTATATCCTGCGCCTGGCTCAGCGGGTCCCACACCCACAGAGCCTTGCTCACTGCTAGCGCAGCAGTCTGAGATTGACCTGCAAGGCAGTAGCCTGGCTAGGGGGAGGGGTGTCCCCCATTGCTGAGGCTTGAGTAGGTAAACAAAGCGGCTGGGGAAGCTCAAACTGGGCAGAGTCCACTGCAGCTCTGCAAAGCCTGCTGCCTCTGGGGGCAGGGCATAGCTGAACAAAAGACAGGAGAAACTGCTACAGACTTAAACGTCCCTGCCTGGCAGCTCTGAAGAGAGCAGTGTTTCTCCCAGCACGGTTTTTGAGCTCTGAGAACAGACAGTGTCTCCTCAAGTGGGTCCCTGACCCCTGTGTAGCCTAAATGACACCTCATACAGGTAGGTGCCCCTCTGGGATGAAGCTTCCAGAGGAAGGATCAGGCAGCAATATTTGCTGTTCTGCAGGCTCCGCTGGTGATACCCAGGCAAGCAGGGTCTGGGGTGGACCTCCAGCAAACTCCAACAGACCGGCAGCTGAGGGACCTCATTCTCAGAAGGAAAACTAACAAACAGAAAGGAATAGCATCAACATCAACAAAAAGGACATCCACACCAAAACCCCACCTGTAGGTCACCAGCATCAAAGACCAAAGGTAGATAAAGACCACAAAAATAGGGAGAAACCAGAGCAGAAAAGCTGAAAATTCTAGAAACTGGAGCGCCTCCTCTTCTCCAAAGGATCACAGCTCCTCACCAGCAACAAAACAAAGAGGGACGGAGAATGACTTTGACGAGCTGACAGAAGTAGGCTTCGAAAGGTCAGTAATAACAAACTTCTCCAAGCTAAAGGAGGATGTTCAAACCCATCACCAAGGAAGCTTAAAAACCTTGAAAAAAGACTAGACGAATGGCTAACTAGAATAAACAGTGTAGAGAAGACCTTAAATGACCTGATGGAGCTGAAAACCATGGCACGAGAACTATGTGACACATACACAAGCTTCAATAGACAATTCAATCAAGTGGAAGAAAGGGTATCAGTGATTGAAGATCAAATTAATGAAATAAAGCAAGAGGAGAAGTTTAGAGAAAAAAGAGTAAAAAGAAATAAACAAAGTCTCCAAGAAATATGGGACTATGTGAAAAGACCAAATCTATGTCTGATTGGTGTACCTGAAAGTGATGGGGAGAATGGAACCAAGTTGGAAAACACTCTTCAGGATATTATCCAGGAGAACTTCCCCAGCCTAGCAAGGCAGGCCAACATTCAAATGCAGGAAATACAGAGAACACCACAAAGACACTCCTCAAGAAGAGCAACCCCAAGACACATAAATGTCAGATTCGCCAAGGCTGAAATGAAGGAAAAAATATTAAGGGCAGCCAGAGAGAAAGGTCGGGTTACCCACAAAGGGAAGCCCATAAGACTAACAGCGGATCTCTCAGCAGAAATGCTACAAGCCAGAAGAGAGTGGGGGCCAATATTCAACATTCTTAAAGAAAAGAATTTCAACCCAGAATTTCATATCCAGCCAAACTAAGCTTCATAAGTGAAGGAGAAATAAAATCCTTTCCAGACAAGCAAATGCTGAGAGATTTTGTCACCACCAGGCCCACCTTACAAAAGCTCCTGAAGGAAGCACTAAACATGGAAAGGAACAACTGGTACCAGCCACTGCAAAAACATGCCAAATTGTAAAGACTATTGATGCTAGGAAGAAACTGCATCAACTAATGGGCAAAATAACCAGCTAACATCATAACGACAGGATCAAATTCACACATAACAATATTCACCTTAAATGTAAATGGGCTAAATGCCCCAAGTAAAAGACACAGACTGGCAAATTGGATAAAGAGTCAAGACCCATCAGTGTGCTGTATTCAGGAGACCCATCTCACATGCAGAGACACATATACGCTCAAAATAAAGGGATGGAGGAAGATCTACCAAGCAAATTGAAAGCAAAATAAAGCAGGGGTTACAACCCTAGTCTCTGATAAAACAGACTTTAAACCAACAAAGACCAAAAGAGACAAAGAAGGCCATTACATAATGGTAAAGGGATCAATTCAAAAAGAAGAGCTAACTATCCCAAATATATATGCACCTAATACAGGAGCACCCAGATTCATAAAGCAAGTCCTTAGAGACCTACAAAGAGACTTAGACTCCCACACAATAACAATGGGAGACTTTAACTCCTACTATCAATATTGGACAGATCGACGAGACAGAAGGTTAACAAGGATATCCAGGACTTGAACTCAGCTCTGCACCAAGCGGATCTAACAGATATCTACAGAACTCTCCACCCCAAATCAACAGAATATACATTCTTCTCAGCACCACATCACACTTATTCCAAAACTGACCACATAGTTGGAAGTAAAGCACTCCTCAGCAAATGTAAAAGAAGAGAAATCACAACAAACTGCCTTTCAGACCACAGTGCAATCACATTAGAACTCAGGATTAAGAAACTCATTCCAAACTGCACAACTACATGGAAACTGAACAACCTGCTCCTGAATGACTACTGGGTAAATAACGAAATTAAGGCAGAAATAGAGATGTTCTTTGAAACCAATGAGAACAAAGACACAATGTACCAGAATCTCTGGGACACATTTAAAGCAGTGTGTAGAGGGAAATTTATAGCACTAAATGCCCACAAGAGAAAGAAGGAAAGATCTAAAATTGACACCCTAACATCACAATTAAAAGAACTAGAGAAGCAAGAGGAAACAAATTCAAAAGCTAGCAGAAGGCAAGAAAAAACTAAGATCAGAGCAGAACTGAAGGGGATAGAGACACAAAAAACCCTTTAAAAAAAAATCAGTGAATCCGGGAGCTGGTTTTTTGAGAAGATCAACAAAATTGATAGACCGCTAGCAAGACTAATAAAGAAGAAAAGAGAGAAGAATCAAATAGACATAATAAAAAACAACAAAGGGGATATCACCACCGATCCCACAGAAATACAAAGTACCATCAGAGAATACTATAAACACCTCTACACAAATAAACTAGAAAATCTAGAAGAAATGGATGAATTCCTGGACACATACACCCTCCCAAGACTAAACCAGGAAGAAGTTGAATCTCTGAATAGACCAATAACAGGTTCTGAAATTGAGGCAATAATTAATAGCCTACAAACCAAAAAAAGTCCAGGACCAGACGGATTCACAGCCAAATTCTATCAGAGGTACAAAGAGGAGCTGGTACCATTCCTTCTGAAACTATTCCAATCAACAGAAAAAGAGGGACTCCTCCCTAACTCATTTTATGAGGCCAGCATCATCCTGATACCAAAGCCTGGCAGAGACACAACAAAAAAAGAGAATTTTAGACCAATATCCCTGATGAACATCGATGTAAAAATCCTCAATAAAATACTCACAAACCGAATCCAGCAGCACATCAAAAAGCTTATCCACCATGATCAAGTGGGCTTCATCCCTGGGATGCAAGGCTGGTTCAACATATGCAAATCAATAAACGTAATCCATCACATAAACAGAATCAATGACAAAAACCACATGATTATCTCAATACATGCAGAAAAGACCTTCAACAAAATTCAACATCCCTTCATGCTAAAAATGCTCAATAAACTAGGTACTGATGGAACGTATCTCAAAATAATTAGAGCTATTTATGACAAACCCACAGCCAATATCATACTGAATGGGTAAAAACTGGAAGGATTCCTTTTGAAAACCAGCACAAAACAAGGATGCCCTCTCTCACCACTCCTATTCAACATAGTATTGGAAGTTCTGGCCAGTGCAATCAGGCAAGATAAAGAAATAAAAGGTATTCAGTTAGGAAATGAGGAAGTCAAATTGTCTCTGTTTGCAGATGACATGATTGTATATTTAGAAAACCCTATCATCTCAGCCCAAAATCTCCTTAAGCTGATAAGCAACTTCAGCAAAGTCTCAGGATACAAAATCAATGTGCAAAAATCACAATCATTCCTATACACCATTAACAGAAAAACAGAGAGCCAAATCATGAGCAAACTCCCATTCACAATTGCTTCAAAGAGAATAAAATACCCAGGAATCCAACTTACAAGGGATGTGAAGGACCTCTTCAAGGAGAACTACAAACCACTGCTCAACGAAATAAAAGAGGACACAAACAAATGGAAGAACATTCCATGCTCATGGATAGGAAGAATCAATATCGTGAAAAATGGCCATATTGCCCAAGTTATTTATAGATTCAATGCCATCCCCATCAAGCTACCAATGACTTTCTTCACAGAATTGGAAAAAACTACTTTAAAGTTCATATGGAACCAAAAAAGAGCCCGTATTGCCAAGACAATCCTAAATAAAAAAAAGAAAGCTGGAGGCATCATGCTACCTGACTTCAAACTATACTATAAGGCTACAGTAACCAAAACAGCATTGTACCAGTACCAAAACAGATATATAGACCAAAGGAACAGGACAGAGGCCTCAGAAATAACACCACGCATCTACAACAATCTGATCTTTGACAAACCTGACAAAAACAAGAAATGGGGAAAGGATTCCCTATTTAATAAATGGTGCTGGGAAAGCTGGCTAGCCATATGTAAGAAAGCTGAAACTGGATCCCTTCCGTATACCTTATACAAAAATTAATTCAAGATGGATTAGAGACTTAAATATTAGACCTAAAACCATAAAAACCCTAGAAGAAAACCCAGGCAATACCATTCAGGACATAGGTATGGGCAAAGACTTCAAGACTAAAACACCAAAAGCAATGGCAACAAAAGCCCAAATTGACAAATGGCATCTAATTAAACTAAAGAGCTTCTGCACAGCAAAAGAAACTACCATCATAGTCAACAGGCAACCTACAGAATGGGAGAAAATTTTTGCAGACTACCCATCTGACACAGGGCTAATATCCAGAATCTACAAAGAACTTAAATTTACAAGAAAACAACATAACAACCCCATCAAAAAGTGGGCAAAGAATATGAACAGACACTTCTTAAAAGAAGACATTTATGCAGTCAACAGACACATGAAAAAATGCTCATCATCACTGGCCATCAGAGAAATGCAAATCAAAACCACAACGAGATACCATCTCACACCAGTTAGAATGGCAATCATTAAAAAGTCAGGAAACAACAGATGCTGGAGAGGATGTGGAGAAATAGGAATGCTTTTACACTGTCGGTGGGACTGTAAACTAGTTCAATCATTGTGGAAGACAGTGTGGCGATTCCTCAAGGATCTAGAACCAGAAATACCATTTGACCCAGCCATCCCGTTACTAGGTACACACCCAAAGGATTATAAATCATGCTGCTATAAAGACACATGCACATGTATGTTTATTGCTGCACTATTCACAATAGCAAAGACTAGGAACCAACCCAAATGTCCATCAATGATAGACTGGATTAAGAAAATGTGGCACATATGCACCATGGAATACTATGCAGCCATAAAAAAGGATGAGTTCATGTCCTTTGCAGGGACATGGATGAAGCTGGAAACCATCATTCTGAGCAAACTATCACAAGAACAGAAAACCAAACACCGCATGTTCTCACTCATAGGTGGGAACTGAACAATGAGAACACTTGGGCACAGGGTGGGGAACATCACACACAGGGGCCTGTTGTGGGGTGGGCAGCAGGAGGAGAGATAGCATTAGGAAAAATACCTAATGTAAATGACGAGTTAATGGGTACAGCAAACCAACATGGCACATGTATACCTATGTAACAAACCTGCACACTGTGCACATGTACCCTAGACATTTAAAAAAAAAAAAAATTCAAGGGAGACTACAGACAACTAAAATGAGCACGGAGCATGTAACATGATCCTCTAAGGCTACTTGTGAATATCCCGAGAAATCTCTGAAAATGACTGACTTTGGAGGAAACCAGCTATAGAATTCTCTAAGGAATACGTACCACTCAAGACCACAATCAAAGATTTGATGAAACACTATTATTACACCTTATTTTTCAAATAGGATAAGAACACAGTACTACATTCTTGTTTTTTTTTTTTTTTTTTTTTTTTGAGACAGAGTCTTGTTCTGTCACCCAGGCTGGTGTGCAGTGGCATGATCTTGGCTCACTGTAACCTCCACCCATGTTCAAGCAATTATCCTGCCTCAGTCTCCTTAGTAGTTGGGATTACAGGTGCGTACTACCATGCCCAGCTAATTTTTGTATTTTTAGTAGAGATGGGGTTTCACCATGCTGGCCAGGCTGGTCTCGAACTCTTGACCTCATGATCTGCCTGCCTTGGCCTCCCAAAGTGCTGGGATTACAGGTGTGAGCCACTGCGCCCGGCCTATTTTATTTTTCAAACTGTGTATTTTACCTCTTAAAGTTTTACATATAAACTTTTACATATATAATCTTCCCTAAATTTGGAAGTCTAAACAATGAAATCATTTAGAACTGCATTCTAAAAGAGGTTTTAAGTGATGTGTAAAGGCATGTTAAATTTTCCAAAGCAAAAGGGAGATAAAACAATCAGCTTTCTATGCACATTCATAAATGTGAAAGAAAGTAGTAAAAGCATTTGAAAATCAACCATGGAGGTAGATATGTAAAGTAGCAGTACTATATGTAGAGAGTATAGCTAATATACTCAAATGAATACCTTCTCTCTTTCTACTTTAAGCCTCTCTTTTTCTTCTTTTTTCTTTAGTCTCTCCTCTTCAACAATTTTTTTCAGTTCTTCCCTCTTTTTCTCTTTATCTTCTTTTTCTTTTTTCTTCGCTTCTAGGGCATCTGCTTTTTCTCTTTTTAATTTAGCCTTTTCAAAAGCTGTGGAGAAAAATCAAACTTAGAACTATATATAGACAAAAAAGAACACTTGGCAATTTTTTTTGATATAACGACAGAATCCTTGAAATAAATGAGATTAGTAGAGACTCTCAAAATTCCTAGAGGGAACCAGCAGGTGATTAAAATAGGAAAAGCAAATTGGCTAAGTTTATGACAAACTACAGTATTGGGACAAACATATATGTGCCTTTGGAAGCCCTAATACCCAAAGTGTTATCTGAAGACCAGCAGCAAAGTTATCATCACCTTGTTAAAAAATGCAGAATCTCATTCCCCAACCAGACCTACTAATTTAGAATCTTCATTTTAACAAGATCCCCAAGTGATTCATATGTATATTCAAGTTTGGGAAGCAATGTTTTAAAAGGCTTTGTGAATCAAACAAAATAGCCCCAGTTTGTAAGCCCCGGAAACTCAAACTTCTGCTTAATCTAGCACTAAGCAATTTAATAGGGCATATGCAAGACCATGAAATTTTAAGAGATGAAGTGGTCTTATATAAAACAAGCAAACAAATAAACAATAGTTATCTGATAGAAAAAATAACTGCACTTCAAAACAATTAACCAGGAACATGCCATTTCAGAAATATCCCCCACTCAGGCACAGAGAAATATTCTTTCTTATTCCTAATCAGCTTTTGGAAAGAATGTTAAAACTCACCCAGTGACTTCATTTCTTCTTGTTTCAAAAGTTTATCTCTTTCTTTAGTAGCTTTGTTCCTATAACTTGCAAGAGTCTGTTTATTAGCAACATTGTCCTCCTAAAAAAACAAACCACACCAGTATGCCTGGTTCTTATAGTAAGAATAAAAAGCAAAAAAATTAAAACTTTCAGCAATTACACTTTCTTTATACTAAAATGATTTTTTTTCTTTTCTTTTTTTTTGAGACAAAGTCTCGCTCTATCCCTCAGGCTGGAGTGTAGTGGTGTGATCTCGGCTCACTGCAACCTCTGCTTCCTGGGCTCAAGTGATTCTTCTCCCTCAGCCTCCTGAGTAGCTAGGATTACAGGCATGTGCCACCACACCCGGCTAAGTTTTTTTTGTATTTTTAGTAGATATGGGGTTCTCCCATATTGGCCAGGCTGGTCTTGAACTCCTGACCTCGAGTGGGCTACTCACCTCTGCCTCCCAAAGTGCTGGGATTACAGGTGTGAGCCACCATGCCCAGTCTAAAATGAGTTTTTATTCTAAAGTATAATTGGGCCGGGCACAGTGGCTCATGCCTGTAATCGTAGCATTTTGGGAAGGCAAGGCAGATAGAATACTTGAGGTCAGGCATTCGAGAGCAGCCTGGCCAACATGATGAAACCCCATCTCTACTAAAAATGCAAAAATTAGCTGGGAGTGGTGACATGCACTTGCAGCCCCAGCTACTCAGGAGGCTGAGGGAGGAGAACTGCTTGAACCCAGGAGGTGGAGGTTGCAGTGAGCTAAGATTGTGCCATGGTACTCCAGTATGGGTAACAGAGTGAGACTCCATCTCAAAAAAAAAAAAAAAAAAAAAGTGCAACTGAATTGTTAATAACTCTAATCTTAGTAATACACAGAACATGAGTTAACTCTGTAGCTCTATAAATTATTACAAGAATATCTCAGGAAAAATTGGTAATACATAGAAAGAGCCTTAAAAATGCTTTATAAACTTTCAGCTTACTTTATAAACTAGATGGTGTAAATATCAAATATGAAAGATGCAGAAAAAAGACATACCAGAAACATTCTTGTGGCCAATGTCAAATTTTATTTTTATTTTATTTCTTCTAAGAATAATGTCTCTAACCTAATTAACTTGTGTAGGTTTTTTTTGTTTTGTTTTTTTAAGACAGAGTCTTGGCTTTGTCGTCCAGGCTAAAGTGCAATGTGGCATGATCTCGGCTCACAGCAACCTTGGCCTCTGTCTGCCTTCCGGGTTTGAGCAATTCTCGTGCCTCAGGCTCCTGTATTTTTAGTAGAGACAGAGTTTTGCCATGTTGGCCAGGCTAGTCTAGAACTCCTGGACTCAAATGTCTACCCACCTCAGCCTCCCAAAGTACTGGGATTACAGGCAAGAGCCACTGTGCCCGGCTGCATTATTGCTTTTTAAAAACCCCCTATAACTTCCTCCTGTCAGAATTTATTCCTATTTTACACTTCAATCCCATAGTTTACTCCCTGCTTTACATTTCAGTAATTGCTCATGTGCTTGCTTCCACTTTGGTATAAAATCCTTGTGGTATGAAAGTCATATCTAATTCACACCTGAAACTTCTACAAGCCTCATTGCTGAGCAGTTATCAACATATAGTACATACTCACATATTTTTTGGTGAGGTAATGAGTTTCTTCCTCTAGGCTATGGATGTGAGGGGAGACAAACATACTTCTTGATTCTGAATACTGTTTTACTAACAGTGAAAATGTAGTTTTAATCAATTCTCTACTTACCTGACTAATAGGTATTCGTTTGGGAGGTCTCCCTCTTCGTCTGTTAGCAGGACTGAAGATAAATGTGGGCGGATCATCAGGAAAGAAATAAGAAAAATCTTGTTCTGCTATTTTATACGTTGAAAGAGATGATGCCTTAACATAAAGACATAGGGTACAGTAATAACACATTAGTAAACAATATACAGATATGCCCTAACATGTCATATGGCCACTATTAATGCTGTTAAAAAACCAGGATAGGCTGGGTACAGTGGCTCACACCTGTAATCCCAGCACTTTGGGAGGCCAAGGCGGGCAAATCATGATGTCAAGAGATCGAGACCATCCTGCCCAACATGATGAAACCCCATCTCTACTAAAAATACGAAAATTAGCTGGGCATGGTGGTGCATGTCTGTAGTCCCAGGTACTTGGGAGGCTGAGGCAGAAGAACTGCTTAAACCTGGGAGGTGGAGGTTGCAGTGACCAGAGATCACGCCACTGCACTCCAGCCTGGACCCCATCTCAGAAAAAAAAAAAGAAAAAAAAATAAGGATAAAAACATTAGAATTTTATGCATTATTGTGTAGTAAAATACGTTTTAATTGGTTTAACCAATCCTTTTTCCACTATATAATTAATTAGCCTTACCAGAAAGAAAACCACAATTCAAAGATTACATTACAATAAAATACCTCAAGAATGGTTGTACAGTTTCTTGTATTTCAAAATTATATATTATACAATACTTTATTTTGCTTTGACAAATTTTGTGAGATTTTCTATGTAAATGAATAATCAATCCATATATTTAACATTAAAAATCCACTGTATTAACCCGATAAATTTTTCGTAACCATTTGCCAACTGCTGAACATTTATTCAGATTTTCCTCCCAGGGTAGAGTAATAATTTAAATACTTAATGTATCAAATTTCCCATTACATCCCTCTAGTCCTGATAAAAGCAGAAATACTTGCAAATTTCTATAAAGTTTAAACAAAGAATTTAAGTTCAGAAGTCAACCTTATTCTTGCCAGAAATGGTGTGGTTCTAGAATAATTACTAAATCCAAGAGTTTATCTCCTTTTACCTTGTATCTAGAATTTGCCTTTTAAAGTTTTTTTATTTTAATTTTATTTATCTATTTATTTATTTTGAGACAGAATCTTGCTCTGTCACCCAGGCTGGAGTGTAGTGACGTGATCTCGGCTCACTGCAACCTCTGCCTCCTAGGTTCAAGTGATTATCCTGCCTCAGTCTCCTGAGTAGCTGAGATTACAGGTGTGTGCCACCACATCCAACTAATTTTTGTATTTTTAGTAGAGACAGTGTCTTACCATGTTGGCCAGGCTGGTCTTGAACTCCTGACCTCAAGTGATCTGCCCACCTTGGCCTCCCAAAGTGCTGGGATTACAGGCATAAGCCACTGTGCCCAGTCTTGCTTACCTTTTATCCATGTGCAACCCTAGACTTTTTGTTATTTTTGACCTAATGGCCAAGATCATCATTCTTCCTCTCAAGCAAATGAAAACAAGTGCCATTTACAGAAATACCTTTCAGGAAATGTGTGAGAAAATGATGATACAAAATACAAAAAGTTAACAAAACAGAAAAGGGTATTTTGTGTATAATTATTTTTGTGGGTAGAGCACAGCTTTAAACACCTAGAATTCAACCAGTTCTGGCCATGTAATAAATCAAGAATCTATCAAAATTTCACATTAAAGAAGATTTCATTAAAATGATCATATTCCATCCCACATAATCTCTGAATTATGTGGGATAACAGGATTATCTATGGAATAGAATTATGTAATTGTCTACAGAATTGCACCTTAAATATGAATATAAAGCACATGGGTGGTTGCGTCTCAAATATATATACACTCATAAAGGCCAAAATACGTTTTAGTACATTAATTGCCAAAGTTCCTCATTCATACACACAATACACAAGACCCACATTTTTGTGTACTTGTAGGTACTCCTAACAGCAGTCTATGCTCACCAAAACTGGTTATCAAACTTTGTGTGCTTGCTCACAAAGTGCTGTGCTGATATAATTTGGCTCTGTGTCCCCACCCAGATCTCATGTGGAATTGTACTCCCCAGTGTTAAAGAACAGGCCTGGTGGGAGGTGACTGAATCATGGAGCGGAATTCCCCCTTGCTGTTCATGAGATCTGGTTGTTTGAAACTACGTAGCACCTCCCACTTCACGCTCTCTCCTGCCAGCCATGTGAAGATGTGCTTGCTTTCCCTTTGCTTTCTGCCAAGATTGTAGGCTTCCAAAGGCCTCCCCAGAAGCAGAAGCATGTACAGCCCACAAAACTATGAGCTGATTAAACCTCATTTCTTTATAAATTACTCAGTCTCAGGTATGTCTTTATAGCAGTGTGAGAATGGATTAATACACCAGCATATCCATTAATAATCTTCTATTACACTCTAAGTGAAAAATGTTTATTGTGACCTTAATTCCCATTTATTTGAGTAAAGCTGATCTTCTTTCCATGTTCATTGACTTTTTCCTTGGTGAAATATTTGCTGATTTCTTTTATCACCATTTTCCAATTGGGTCATCTTTGCTCACTGATGTGTAAGAAATCTTTATAAATTAGAGAAATTGGCCAACTGGTGTTTACAATACACATATACAACTATTCACATATATCGATTGCCTACCAAGTGTCAGGCACTGTTCTAACCATTTATTGGTTAGATCATTAAAACTTTTTGTAAGTTTTAATCATTAAAAAAGTTTTAAATCATTAAACTTTTTGTAAGCATCATTTAATATGGCTACCTGATAATGCTATAGATAGAGCATAATTGAATCTTATCAAGGCAGATACATAAATATGCTCACATTTTTAAAAAATTATTTTTCAGATGACGCTATCTTACGTTTTCAAGTTTTTATATTTCTTCCACTGTGAATTTTAATCATATCTATTTGACCATTTTCCTACTGGGGTGCATATGTTTTTCTAGTTAATTTGCGTTCTTCATTATATTTACTCAAGGCATTTTTCCCCCAGTGCTTGCCCTTGAAATCTATGCATGACTTTTTTTTTTTTTGCCTGATACAGAGTCTCCTGTTGCTCAGGCTGGAGTGCAGTGGCGCGATCTTGGCTCACTTATGCATGACATTTTAAAACTTATGTTTATGCTCAATCTCATCCTTGGTATTTTTTTTCTATTTCTCCTAAGTACCTCGTCATATTTAACATTAAAATTTGTTTCATTTCTTTTGAGTTAGATTTAACTTTATTATTCCAATAGTTAACCAAGTGTCCATTTTTTAAATCAATCTTGTCTCTAGAGACCTGAAATGTTAACTTTTCGCATAAACTCATTCTTTTTTTAAAGTTTCTCTTCTTTTTAAACATGTATATATAGTGAAATGCACAAATCTTACACATGCAGGAGATGATTTGTGACAAATGCATACATCTCTCTAACCCATTCTACTGCCTTTTTAAACTTTTAAGTTCAGGGGTGCATTTACAGGTTTATTACATAGGTAACATGTGTCATGGGTGTTTTGTTGTGCAGATTACTTTATCACCCAGGTTTTAAGCAAGTACCAATTATTTTTCCCCATCCTCTCCCTCCTCCCACCTTCTGACAGGCCCCAGGTACGTGCTGTTTCTGCTTTTTTTTTTTTTTTTTTAAGAGACAGGGTCTTGCTACATTCCCCAGGCTGGACTTGAAATCCCAGCCTCACATGATCTTCCCACCTCAGCTTTAGGAGTAGCGGGGACTACAGGCATGAGGCTCCATTCTATTGCTTTTTTTACTTGGTGTGTCTTTATCCCAATAAAAGTTGAATATTTTGTATTTTAAAAAATTACTTTAAGTTTTACCATTTAACTTTTTACTTGGTGTGCAATGTGAAATCTCTAAAACTTGACTTTTTCCTCTCAAAATGGTTATTAACAAAATATAATGTCTGCTTAGTATTAGCATGATACATCATTATTATTATTATTATTATTATTATTATTATTATTATTATTTTGAGACAGGGTCTCACTCTGTTGTCCACGCTGGAGTGCAGTGGTACAATCACAGCTCACAGCAGCCTTGGTGATCCTTTTACTTCAGCTTCCTAAGTAGCTGGGACTACAGTTACCACCACCACACCCAGGTAATTTTTGTAATTTCTGTAGATACAGGGTTCACCATGTTTCCCAGGCTGGTCTCCTGGGCTCAAGCAATATGTACACTTTGGCCTCCTAAAGTGCAAGGATTACAGGAGTAAGCCACGGTGCCCAGCCAATGCTCTTTTTATTATACATTGTTCTTTCATCTAGTAGGCTCTGTTTAGCATTGTTCTTTGAATCTGTCTATTCTTCATAAGCCAGAACCACACTACAGGTATTAGGAAGCTATAGCTGCCCCACTTGATAACTTTTCTTTTTCCAAATTTTCTATTTTCACCTGTCCTTGTTGATCTTTTTTATAAGTGGTAGTAACTGAACCACCTAGCAATTCTAGCAATTTTAAAAATAGTAATTAATCTAATAAATATTTTTCAGAAGTACTAAAAATTGGCTCCAGATTTAAAAAGAGCAATCTTTAATCATCTTTGAAATAACATTTCAGCAATGTTGTAACTTTATAACACTACCCATTTTGTTTTCTGTCTTCCAACAAATAATTTCATTAACTACCTTTATTTTAATGATTCCATCTTGTGGTTCACAGTGTTGCTTCAGAAAAAGCTTTAGTTTATCACGAGAAAATAGGTGTTTTCTCCGGCTACAGGAAGGAAGGAAGTCAAAGAGAGTAGTGTTAGCATCAAAGAGTTCAACCCAAACTCCGTAATTTCTGTAAATTTATAACCTGAATTTCAAGCCTAGGAATCAAAGGATACTTCATCTTCTAACAGTATTTATGTAGAAGTTACAAGAAACTTTTACAGAGGTATTTATGTAGGAAGTTATAAGATCTACATGAGTGAATCTATTATAAAAAGTCTATTACAAAAACAGCATATGCATTTGTTGTTTAGGGGCCACTGGGAAAACAAACTTCAAGAGCCAGACGCGGTGGCTCACGCCTGTAATTCCAGCACTTTGGGAGGCCGAGGTGGGTGGATCACGAGGTCAGGAGATTGAGACCATCCTGGCTAACATGGTGAAACCCTGCCTCTACTAAAACTACAAAAAATTAGTGGTGTTGGTGGGCGCCTGTAGTCCCAACTACTCGGGAGGCTGAGGCAGGAGAATGGCATGAATCTAGGAGGCAGTGAGCTGAGATCACACCACTGCACTCCAGCCTGGGCAACAGAGCAAGACTCCATCTCAAAAAAAAAAAGAAAAAAGTAAACAAAAAAGAAAACAAACTTTAAGGAAAATATGCTATAGAGAGTAAATCAAATTTTATAACATTAGATTATTACCCCTACAAGTATAATCATTAAAATTCTCTTAAAAATTAAAATCAGGCCAGGCACAGTGGCTCACGCCTGTAATCCCAGCACTTTGGGAGACTGAGGAGGGTGGATCACTTGAGGTCAGGAGTTCGAGACCAGCCTGGCCAACATGGTGAAACCCCATCTCTACTGAAAATACAACAAGAATTAGCTGGGCGGTATGGCACATGCCTGCAATCCCAGCTACTCGGGAGGCTTAGGCTGGAGAATCGCTTGAGCCTGGGAGGCGGAGGGTGCAGTGAGCTGAGATTGCACTGCTGCACTCTAGTCTGGGAGACAGAGTGAGACCCTGTCTCAAAAAAACAAAGCAAAACAAAACAAAACAAAAAAATTAAAATCAGTAGACTACCAGAAATCATATTAAGTGCTGCAAATCAACATTCAAGTGGATATTGTAAACAAAGTTGAACATAGCTTATATCAAATTTTAAAACATTTTGTATTTAAATCTCATGACAACCAACAAATTAGTGGGATGAAAATTAAAAGAGGCTTAAAATTAATATTCTAAAACATACTGTTTTTTATTCTCCCTTGCCCCCCAATTAAAAACAACCACAAGAGTAACCACCACCACCACAAACAAAACAAAACCAATAGAAAAGAAATAGAAGTATTTTTCTGGAAAAAAGTAAATGTTTTGAGTTCAATGTATTCCTTTCAAGAAAAAGCCAAGTTAAAAGCTCCAGTAAGTGAATAAACAATATATGATTTTTAAGTAGTGGCCTTCCCAAAAATGTATAGTTAGCCCTCCATATCTGTAGATCAAAAGTATCTGGAGAAAATAAAAACTGCATCTGTACTAAACATGTATAGACTTTTTTTGTTGGTCAGTATTCCCTAAACAATACAGTATAACAATGAATTATACTTCATTTACATTGTATTAGGTATTACACATAATCTGGAGATGATTTAAAGCATATGGGAAGATGTGTGTAGGTTAGATGCAAATACTACACCATTTTATGAAATTTGAACATCCAAAGATTTCCCTCCCACACAGATAAACAAGGATAACTATATTCTTTTCCTAGATTTAAAGCTCCATGAGAACAAGGACTCCGCTATATCTCTGCACCATACAGTAGCTGGTAAAGAGAAGGTAATTACTTGTTCACTGCTGAAGAAACTAGTCCTCAAGGACTACATTAGTTTACATGGTAGCTACTAGCCACATATTGTTTATTTATAAATAAAATTTAAAACTCAGTTCCCTCATTCTTTCTAGCTACATTTCAAATACTCAATAGCGACACATGGCTGTTGGATAGCATACATATAACATTTCCATTATAAAAGAAAGTTCTGTCGGGCGCGGTGGCTCACGCCAGCACTTTGGGATGCCAAGGTGGGTGGATCACGAGGTCAGGAGATCGAGACCACCCTGGCTAACATGGTGAAATCCTGTCTCTACTAAAAAAAAAATACAAAAAATTAGCCGGGCATGGTGGCGGGCACCTGTAGTCCCAGCTTCTTGGGAGGCTGAGGCAGGAGAATGGTGTGAATCCGGGAACCAGAGCTTGCAGTGAGCCGAGAATGCGCCACGGCACTCCAGCCTGGGCAACAGAGCAAGACTCCATCTCAAAAAAAAAAAAAAAAAAAAAAGGAAAGTTCTACATGTCAATGCTACTCTAGCATATCAAGTCTTCTTCTTTATTAGAGGAATATTACCATCTCTTTATTAAAAAAATAGCATCGTACTATTTTTTGATGCTAACAAAGACCTATAAGTCATTTAAGTCTTTTATTATGAAGTATAACTTTCTCACCTTGTAATTCTTTGGCTTACAAATTAGGAAAAAAATGAGCTAACCAAGACTGTAACCATGGTCTAGCAGAATAATTAAAGTATAAGTCAAAAAGTAAATAGAAAAATGAAAAATATTAAATAGGGAATTACATTATATAAGTAACATCCTGAACTAAATGCAAAAGAAAAAAACTCAACTGTGAATAAGGAAAATATCTGTAGTCTCAACAGTGCTACTCATGAGCCCATAAACTAAACAAATTTTTAAAAGTTTGAATAATCAAACATTAGTTTTGGAATATTATTTTTGAATATACAGTAAAATGTAGAATGCTCTAGAGATCTTAAACTAATGACGAGCCCCCCAAAACCAACAAACCAACAAACTACACATACCTCAATACAGCCACAGAAAGTGATATATCTATCTCAGGATTCTCTTAATACTTATATTATTACCACTTTTGTTTGGACACATGAATATATATGGAACAAAAGGGATGAGAACACAAGCAAAAATTATTTTACATTAAATGAAATACAAGACTGACTCCTAGGTGGCAGGTTGATAGTTGGCTGATATCATCTTACTTTCAGATGACTAAGAGTCTAAACCCAACAGGCAACAATAGGGATTTTCCTAAAATATATCTGTATAACCTAAAGCCAGTTATTTTATGTATTAACTACTCACTAAAGCAACTTCTTATATTAACTTCTGTCTCCTCTGATTAGGCCTCAAACAGGAACTTTTTAAAGATACTCATTTTTTATGATTTAGCTTTCTTAATGAATAGGAAAAAACTGATCAAATGTTTGTCTAATGAATACTACAAATGTTAACATTTATAAGTACCTTCATTAATATTAAAAATTGAGTTATCTCATGAAAAGTACTTCATAAATAGGACCCTTTTAAATTCTTTAGATAGAAGACTATTTGGGGTTAGTCATCTAAACAAAGGGCTCCATCAGTCCATTAGGATTTTTTTTTTAAATAGAGACAGGGTCTTGCCACATAGTCCAGGCTGGTCTTGAACTCCTGGCCTCAAGCGATCCTCCTGGCTTGGCCTGTCAAAGTGCTAGGATTACAGACGTGAGCTACTGCACCTGGCCTTCATCAAGATTCTTAGGATTTATTTTAATCAGTCTATGAACATATAAATGTACATTTATTTTTTAAAAGGAAAGCAATCACAGTACTTCCTATTTCTTCTATATCAGACCTTCTTAATCTTACATAATTATTCTACTTTAAACTACTATTGAGAAGATAGTGAGTTTTACCTGATTTGTGTTGCTTTAACAATAGCAGACTCATATAATTCTTTTTTAGTGGGTTGCACTTTATACTTGAATAGTAAGGGATCAATTGCATCTTTTTTCTTCCTAAAAAGAGGAGGGAAAAGACAAATCAGTTAATAATTTGGAAAATGAAATTTTAAATGGAAACCTAGTAAGAATACACTATAACAAAATCACCTATTTCAAACATTTTGTTTGTTTTTGAGATGGAGTCTTGCTCTTGTTGCCCAGGCTGGAGTGCAATGGCACATCTTGGCTCACTGCAACCTCCACCTCTTGGGTTCAAACTATTCTCCTGCCTCAGCCTCTTAAGTAGCTGGGATACAGGCATACACCACCAGTTAATTCTGTATTTTTGGCAGAGGCAGGGTTTCACCATTGGTCACGCTGGTCTCGAACTCCTGACCTCAGGTGATCCTCCCACCTCGGCCTCCCAAAGTACAGGGATTACAGGCATGAGACACTGTGCTTGGCCAATATAAAAATTTAAAATTTTTATTGTCTTTTAGAGACAGCGTCTCGCCTTGTCACCCAGGCTGGAGTGCAATGACATCATCAAAGCTGAGTGCAGCCTCAAACTCCTGGCCCCCAGAGATCCTTCTACCTTGGCCTCCCAAAGTGTTGGCATTATAGGCATGAGCCACTGTATGTGGCTGTGCATTTTTACTTTAACTAAGGTTTTATAAGTTACTGATCCCTGCCTCCACCATTCTATTAGCCAAAACAGAAAAAAGCACTATTTTATTTTAGGTAGGTATTTTAGCTACTCATTCAATACATTTTCCTTGGGTGAAGAAAATAACTAGAGATGAAGCATAGAGTACCCAGTTTAAAGAGTAAAAAATTAAAAAAAAAAAAGTTCTTGGATTTGCTTTTAAACTTTCTTTACAGCTATATAATCCAAGAATAAAAATGGAGACAATGTAGTTTAAATTGGCCAAGAGACTACACATTTAATCCCTACCCCCCACCAACTTCACATCTTTTCTTCCCTTTGAGGGTGTATTCATTCATTTATTCAATAGTTACGAGCCTGCAATGTGCCAGAAACTACTCTAAATAGTGAAGATTCAGTAGTCAACAAAATAGAAACAGTGAGGAGATACAAGCAAACAAAAACATATACAACAGGAGAAGTGATAAGTTCTATGACGAGAACAGAGTACAGGGTGGGGGAGCCACTGTTTTATAGAGTGATCTCTGATAAGTTGACCGAGTATGCCTTCAAAGAGGTTGATATTTAAGCAGAGATCTGGAGGGGGGAACAAAAAAAAAAAACGACCAAGAGAGCAACTCATGAAAAATCTTGGGGAAATGAATTTCTAAAAAAAGAGAAAAGAAGTAAAAACCCTGAGGTGGGAGGAGGCATGCACAATTTACACAAGTAGCAAAATGAATTAGGAAAATGAAAAAAGATTCAGAGATGTAGCAGCAGTGCCAGATTACAAGGCTTTGGATATTAACTCTGAGTAAAGTCACTAGAGGATTTTTAATAATAAGGTGATAATAACTTAACTTACACTTCAGAAGGATCACTCTGGCTGCTATGTGGAAAAGACAATCTGGGGCAAGAGTGTAAACAGGAATACCAGTTGGAAAGCTACTGAGAACTGATTGCAGCATGGACTTAAATGGAAGTAGCAGCAATAGAGAGAAGAGGTAGGATTCTGAAAATGCCACCTCTGTGAATGTAAAGAGGATATAAGTGGGGGTTATAGAGAAGAGCAGAAAATGATATGGTAAGATGATTAAGAAAAGCACTGACAATGAGAATCAGATTTAAAGTTACATAAATATAGCACACACAAAGCAGGGGAAGTGTTTAACACAAAAGGGATATGACACAATTAAATAAGTAAAACTATTTACCTACAATAGCATTACATTCTAAGTTGGAAGGCCAAGTATCTTTACACTAAGACTCAGTATATACATAAATCAGTAGATGTATTTAAATATGCACCTGTACTATATGGAATATCTAGTATTTTCTATTCTATTAAAGTTCATTACCAAGTTAATTTCACAACCTACATGGGGCCATAACAACCTGTGGTATGAAAAGCACTGTTCCAAGAGAACAGATCAAAGAAAGAATTCTAAATGTAAAGAAAGAAGCACTGCTGGCCGGGTGTGATGGCTCACACCTGTAATCGCAGCACTTTGTGAGGCCAAGGCTGATGGATCACTTGAGCTGAGAAGTTTGAGACCAACCTGGGCAACATGAGGAAACCTACAAAACACACACACATATACACACACACACACACACACACACAAAACTCAGTTGGATATGGTGGCATGCGTATGTGGTCCCAGCTACTTTGGAGGCTGAGATGGGAGGACCACTTGAGCCTGACTGGAGGCTTCAGTGAGTTGTAACTGTGCCACTGCACTCCAGCCTGGGTGACAGAGCAAGACCCTGTCTCAAAAAACGAACAGGCTGGACGCAGTGGCTCACGCCTGTAATCCCAGCATTTTGGGAGTCTGAGGCAGGTGGATCACCTGAGGTCAGGAGTTGGAGACCAGCCTGGCTAACATGGTGAAACTCCATTTCTACTAAAAATACAAAAAATTAGCCAGGTGTGGTGGTGTGTGCCTGTAATCCAAGTTACTCAGGAGGCTGAGGCAGGAGAATCACTTGAACCAGGAGGCAGAGATTGCAGTAAGCCGAGATCATGCCATTGCATTCCAGTTTGGGCAACAAGAGCGAAACTCCATCTTCAAAATAAAAATAATAATAATATAAAATAAAAAACAAATGAAGCAATGAGAAGAGTTCTCAGTAAGAAAATTTCAGCCAGGTGTGGTGGCTCACACCTGCAATCCCAGCACTTTGGGAGGCCGAGGCAGGCAGATCATGAGGTCATTAGTTTGCAACTAGCCTGGCCAATATGGTGAAACCTTGTCTCTACTGAAAATACAAAAATTAGCTGGCCTTGGTGGCCTGTGCCTGTAGCCCCAGCTACTTAGGAGGCTGAGGCAGGAGAATTGCTTGAACCTGGAAGGCAGAGGTTGCAGTGAGCTGAGATTGCACCACTGCACCCCAGCCTGGGCAACAGAGCAAGACTCCATCTCAAAAAAAAAAAAAAAAAAAAAGAAAATTTTTTGAAATAAAGGAAAAACAAATGAGTTTTAATGAATTAGTAGCAGTTTAAGAACAAGAGAATTAAGTTATCTTAATACTTTTTGAATAGATATCAACTTAGCAACTAACCACTACTATTTTATACATAAGAGATTGATCAAGTATATTAAGTTGCACTTAAAATTATTACCAGTGGCAATATCTAATTACAAATGTTGTAAATATATATTTTACTATGCATTAAATATATATGAACATATTTTATATAACCAATACACAAAAAATATTAGTTCCCCCACATTTTAGTAAATTATAAAATAATTAATATACTAACAGGAGAGAAAACCAAGATGTGAGCGGTAATTCCTAAAAATTTAGATTCTAACTAAGTATTCAGATATTGGTATAGAGTCTAGAAAACATATATATGGACCTTTTTCGGGGAGACAGGGTCTCACTCAGTTGTCCAGGCTGGAATACAATTGTGCGATCATGGCTCACTGCTGCCTCAACCTCCCAGGCTCAAGTGATCCTCCTATCTCAATCTCCTGGGTAGCTGGGACTGCAGGCATGTGCCACCCATGCCCGGCTAATTTTTTGTATTTTTTATAGAGACAGGGTTTCTCCACATTGCCCAGGCTGATGTATAACTCCAGGGCTCAAGCAATGGCCCCACCTCAGCCTCCCAAAGTGCTGGGATTACAGGTGTGAGCCACTGTACCAGAGCTTATCTTTTTTTCTTTTTGAGACAGAGTTTTGTTCTTGTTGCCCAGGATGCAGTGCAATGGCACAAATCTCGGCTCACTGCAACCTCTGCTTCCCGGGTTCAAGCGATTCTCCTGCCTCAGCCTCCCGAGTAGCTGGGATTACAGGTGCCCGCCACCATGCCCAGCTAATTTTTGGTATTTTTAGTAGAGACAGGGTTTCACCATGTTGGCCAGGCTGGTCTCGAACTCCTGACCTCAGGCAATCCACTCACCTCGGCCTCCCAAAGTGCTGGGATTACAGGCATAAGCCACTGCACCTGGCCCCAGACTATATCTTCATGGATTTAAGGCTGTAAAATGTGCGAGTTTATATGTGCAAAGAATGATTTTTTACTGTTCTTGCTGTACCATGAAATTCATTTGTGAAGATAAATAGAAAATTTTTTCTAATCAGTGAAAATATTCTTACTGGGGCTTTGCTATCTATAATACTTATGCAAAATTCTATATAAAATAAAATCCTAATTGCATTCTTCCCAAGAAGCACAATTACTGGAGACCAAGAAAAACTGCTTCTTATAATATGAATTCACCTACAAGATAGAAACTACAAGGATAATATTAAAAAGAACTTACATTTTAATCTTTTTTCTTGCTACCCAAAGCCTTGGCCTAAATGGTTGAATCAAGTTGAATTTAGTGATCTCAATCATGATGGTGACTCACCATTTTATTACCAACAAGTGTAGACCTGTGTTTAGTTCTACAACAAGCAAACATCAAATATTGTACTTATAAAATCAGAACACCATTCCTATTATTTATTTACAACAAAATTTCACAAATGTTTATTTCAATATGCCTAGTTATATATGTAAATTTTAATTCTACTTTGATTTTACCATAATAGAAGTTGTTTTTCCTAATATATTATGAACATTTGACAATAGTTATAAAAAATTAAATAATTTTCTATATCAGCTCAACAGAAATGACCAAAAAAACTCCTATACTTTCAACATAAAGGTTTCTTTTAAGAGAAATCATCAAATTGTATTCATAATTATTCTATAATGACAACCCACTAACTGATTAGGCACCAGTGGTTATTTATGGTGAGAGATATATAATTTTTATATATATATTTAAATATATATATTTAAAATGCTAAGGTTATTTCTCACACATTAAGTTTCCATCCATGGAACTACAAATAGCAAAACAATTAGGTCTGCTTCTTTAAAAATAACACTCAGATTCCATTATCTTACTAACAATTAGTCAAGTTA